AGAGAATGCATGAGTGAGAGAATGCACAGAAGGGCTGGGCCCCATTTCTCAGCCCCCCTCCATCACGATGATGTTGATGATGATGATGTGAGAAGAAACGAAAGAGAAGAGAAGTGGAAAAAACTGCCTACTCATGTTTTGGTAAAACTTCATAGGTGAGATAATATTCATATCGGAAAAGAGGAAATTTATTCGTTAATCGGCTATTTAGTAGCAATTATCTAAATTGAAATGCCTTTTGTCCATCAAGCTATATTTAGAACGAAAAGATTCTATCGAACGGTAACAAAAGAAATAAATAGTTTTGCTTTAATCAATCTGATTCATCATTTTATTCATATCGGCAATTAAGTTTCATAGTCGTCTAGACATTAGAATGAGATATCACATGATAACCTAAATCAAAGAAAGCATGCGAGAAGAAAAGAACTTTTTCTTTTTCTTAAAGCATTTCGATTGAAAGTTTTCCATTCCGTTGATTAGAAACGTAGATAGAAGTTTTTCTACCAGCGCCAGTTCGATGTCATGGTGATTATTGTCTAATTCTGCTTTTGATGTATTCACTATGTAGATGATCTTTCATTATCACCAACATCATCGACCATGACATCGCCAATTAAACTTGAAAATCATCAAAATCGACAGCTGCAGCATTTTCAACAACATGGACCGATGGGTAAAAATCTTCATTTATCAGAAGTCATCACGACTGCTGCGGCAACTCATCCTCACCATTACAATGGCTTCGATACACATCCCCAGAATATTGTTGATCCGGCCGAAATGACGAAACTACTGAGTAATATTACAACATCCGCTAGTTCAGCATTGAAAATGATTTCAACTTCGTCGACGATTGATTATCCAAGTCGTTTAAATCAATTTTCATGGGAAGAAATCGAAGGACGATACCTGCCAGTAATCTTCAGGTAGGCGACGATAATTTGTCGATTAATAACTTTTGTTATTGATCGTTTTTCTTTCCTAGAAATGAAAATGATTGTTTGCAACGGTATACATCCAAGATGTTTGTTGAGAATACTCTTTTTCAAAGTGAATCGTGGCAACGACATATCGTCTTAGCTCGTTCACTTCCTCCATTGATATCTTCTCCGTATACCGAACATGAACTGAAACTCTTTCGTTTAATTGTCGAATGGCACTTAGCGAGTTTTCATTTTAAAACAATTTTACCGACCGATTGTCTCATTCGTTTTGACGATCTACTCGATTTCTATAGTGCGCTAAGAAAACTACGTGACACTGTATCAACTACATCCTTTAATCGACAAATTCCGCCACCACCAACATCATCAGTTCCCTCTTTGATACCAATGGGACCTCCTAAACAACGGCTTCCCGCGTCTTCGAGTAGTTCATCCCAATCATTTGAATTACCGACTATGGGAGGAAATCCATCATTGAAAGCTAATTTACACCATCGTCAGTCATTAGCAACAGTAACCGGAAAACCCTACCTTCCTTCAGTACACCAGTCCCATCCATCTAATCATCTTTTACAACAAAGTGCTGATGTACTCGCATCACTCGCTAATCCATCGTCTCAGCCATTTAATTATCCTCCGTCGACGATTAAACCTAGCGTACCCATAACACCATCGTCATTTGCGGGCCAGGTAAATCATATCAAAACGAGTTTTCTTCTAATTTCTAGCATTGTCTGATGCTATTTTTAGTGGAATGAAAGTTTAACGAAAAGTAATGATAAAGTTCGTTCGTCACTTCCACGACCGGGAATTCCGTTGAATAATTCTCTTCCAAAAGAATCAGCACTACGTGATAAACGTTTTCTACCACAGAAAATTCCTCAACAAACTCATGAAAACCATCTAAATCACATGCCGACAAATCCTTCTCGTGAAACAAAAGAATCCGGTTGGGTACAAATCAACAACGTGTTCGTTCCTTACATTGTCAAAGTCAAACTACGCGAGAACGAACTCGGTAAAGAATTTCTCAGTGAATGTTGACTCATCTCTTGACATATGATTTCGTTTCTTTAGAAAAATGTTCAACTCGTCAACCACCGCCACAATTACAACGTGAATTTTATGTTCCATACGAAATTCTAATCAAATGTCATATATTTTCTGATAATGAATTCGCATTTAAAAAATTTCTGATCAAAGCTACTCAGCAAGATTTCGACATTTTCAACAATCTGATTTCGAACATCAACATCTTTGACGAGAAAGTTCCCGAAAAAACTTTTCTAGTCAATCTCTATCATGTCATGATCGGTCTGCAAAGAATTCTCTACGTGAAACTATTAGCAACAAAACAACCGCGTACACAAGTCAATAAATATCACAGCGAAGTTCTAACGCACAAAGGCGGAACTTTACTAATGGATGGAAATAAACTTGTACCATATATCATCCAAAATAACCACTTTTATGTTCCTTTGATGTATGCTTATCATTCATTACCACAGACTCTTTCACAAGCTAAACGAGGTGCACGTGCACCACGACAATATGAAATCGATTATTTAAATTTGTTATTTCTCTATTTTTCAATCGACTCACCTCCATTGACACCTGATACATTACTTGTCGATGCGTTCAGTATCAAATCTACAGAGTTACCAGCGCCAGTTCACTTTCAAACACTCAATGAACATCAACAGCATGAACGACATCGGTTACTAAGCACACTCATGCGTATCAATCAAACAAATGTGAAAGTACCAAGTAAATCTCAACAACCAGCAACAAAGTCATCGACAGTAATACATCCATCTATGCAAAAGTCGAGTAAATGTTCAACAACAAGTGTGGTTGTTAATCCATTAATTCATCATCCATCATTTTATGGTTTACCATCATTGGCCTCGCCAGTGAAACCCACTTCGTCGAGTTCTATTCCGACGAATCCCTCGTTATTACCAATGGAATTAACAACAAAACGACCGTTGCAGCAAGTGCAATTAAAAACAATTCAGTATGATAATCGAACATTGACTGCGATTGTGAAATCCTCTGATTTGCCGAAATCGGATTGGAAGGTGTCCGTTCAACATATTTTCGATCGATTTCTGTTCGACATCAACTACGAAAAGTTCATCCAATGGTGCCAAACCAATCTTCTTTTACCTTTGATAAAATTAGATGATGAAGAGAAGAAAATTGTCAATGATTATCAAGATGATTATTTTGTTTATTTTCGTCATCTTGAAAGGTGTACTGGTTTACTCAATGAATTGAAACGTGGAACAATTAGTATGACCCTGTTACCATCATCAAATAATGAATCGCAACAACAACAACAACAAAAAACAGAGAGCGGACCCGTGAAATTGCAATTAGCGGGTATGTAATCGTGTTAGAAATAGATATCTACAATAGCAATGCATTTGTATTTGACTAATTGAAAATAATCTCATATTTTTATTTCTAGGAGCGAAAAAGCGTAAAACAACAGTACCAACCACACGGCACGTTCCCTTTTCATCTCAATCATCACCAATACCTGTGACCAATAATCCAAATTCTATCGCCAAGGATACTTCTTGTCGATCACCTGAACTACTTACGAGCAATGAGCCTACTCCTGTAATACCAGCATCATCTCCGCCTCCTCCTCCTTCTCCTCTGGATAACTTACCAATCGAAAATGATGATGACGACAACGATGATATTGATGAAGGCGAAACTAATGGAATGCCAGTCGTCGCTTCTGTTCAAGAAGAACAATCAGTTCAAGAACCGAATTCGTCATTTTTAATCGTTGAATCAAGTGATGGAGATGATGGAAAAATTCATCTTGATGATACTCTACCTTCTTGTTCATCAGGTTACGAATCAGCTGCGGCATTAACTAATATCGATGTAAATATGCCTCACAATGCCAGTAGTGATGATGACGATGATGAAACTAATTCAAATCTTCACTCACCTACATGTCAATCCGAACATTCATTAACGCCAATTTTATCACCAATTTCATCGAATGTCGCTTTGGATTTAAATCATGCAGAATCAACTCATTTATCACCGGTGATATCCAAGCAAAAACTAAATCTTCGACAACGTAACAAACAAGACAAATGTCGTGCGCGATCACGTTCGCCCACGCCACGTCATACCAAGAGAAAGCGTTCATCAGATGAACAAGATCTTCCAGGAAACACCATCACAAGCGAGCGAATTGAACACCATTTACGAACGTTACTAACACCTGTCAATGAACACCAACGACGTACACGAACAAGACCTATCAAAACTCCTGTCCGTCTTGTCGAAGAAATCGCTTCAACCAATCCTATCAAATCAAACGATACAGATCATAATTTTGATCCATATTCAACTTCTCCATCTGTGACATCACCTGATGCAATAACGAAATCTTACACTAATGATTCAATTCCGACTTCACACACCCATGAAACATGCACATATAATGTCACCATATCTACGAAACCTAATAAATTAGGTTTAACTATAAAGAAAGTGATCCAACGATAAGAAATTCTTTGTATTTGTTTTAACCTATGGCTGAGAAACAGTCGAATTATTTTTTGATTTTGTCATTTTGTTTCTTTCTTTTTTTTATCGCATGTATGTATATCGAGGAAAGTTGAAAGAGGATACTCATGTAACTTTTTCGATTATGTCGTCAATTCTTTATTTCTGTCATTGAATTGACCTAAGGAAAATCAAAAAGAAGTTCATCCCGTTCTGAACCTCTCCTATTTCATGTATATACATTGATTGTTGTTATCACTGTCTTTTCCTCTCTTGTTTGAATATCCGAACCTACTTCCTCTATACATCGACTTTGTTTTCGTTGTATTTGTTCTTTTTTTTTAATGGAACTACTCCATGTTGATTGTTATTTGTGTACTTCTTTTCTTTTCTGATGATAGTTCAGGAGAATAAGATTTATGTATGAATTTGAAAACAAAGAAACCGAAGAGCTTCGAATTCATGTGCTTAAACATATGTTCGTTTTATTCGGAAGAACAACACGAAATTCTGTTAGGATTCAACAATCATCCCACTGAGCAAATAACCACTTGCACCAGACATACGAATGAATGGATGTGTTCGTTCATCGAGAATCTGAGTAAAGAGAAAGTTGACAGAAGACGAGTGGATTGAGAATGGAAAGATTTACTTGATATTCTCGTAACCATGAATCAGCCACTTCAACGTGGATCGTTCCGCCACGTTTTTTCAAGTATTGATAGCATTCTAACAAACTCTGGAAGAAATCAGGAAAGAGATATTTGTGTCAGCGTCTAAAGACAAAGTTTTTACTTGGACAGATTGAGAATAGACCACAAAATGTGAACACAATGCCATATAATCAATTACATGTTGTAATATTGATAGTGAATCATATTTACTTGCTATGATTAAACTAAAACCAAAGCAATACTTATAAATTCATCTGATATGCATACCTATTCATTTTTGTTTTTTCGAATAGTTGTAAACCATCAAGACGACGTTGCCGACGTGCTTGTGCTTGTAACATCTTTTCACTTGGCTCTTCTTTCGATGGTTTCACTTGATTAGCACGTTCAACCGCATTGACATCGCCTTCAAATCACACTCAACATACTTGACAAACTCCGAAATGATATTTACCAATGTTTTCAATAGGAATGTTGTAAACATTCGAAGTATACTCTTCGGAAAAGTCCATAAAATCACAACAAGGACTAAAACGACAAATTACATACGAGATTATCGTAAACCAAACTTACGCAGTGGAATTATGTTCTCCGGCTGGCGTCAAATTGAATATCAATCCATTACCTCCTGCACAACGTTGAATTACAGATGCTAAAATCAAACCTTGACATGACTCGACTATTGCCACATTCGAATCATGAGTAATGTTTGATAATGACAAAAGCATGGCTAAAGTGTCACGTCGTAAATACCTATAAATATCAACAAATCGAAATAAAGTCAATATTGAATAAAATATTTAATTAACTACATGATTTTTTGTAAATCATGCGTGTACGCTTGACATAGGAGACGGATACTTGGCTTCCATGCTTGATAGATTTGAATGTATCTTTTCAACGACAAAGGAAAATTTCTGATGAAAAAGAAGAGAGACGAAAATTACTTCTTCTTTTTCTTGTTTAAATATTTCTGTTGGGAATAGACAGTCTTTTTTTCGAATGTTGCACTTTTCGATACTAATTGAGAAATAATTGTTTGACCCGATGCACCTTCGGATTTCATTTGCTCGATTTCATCATGTTGTAGTGTTTGGTTGACAGTTCCCTCATCACATAAATCTCGATTGTCTTGCCCAGCAGCATCCGAAGATGTTTCTTCTATGAAAACAAGTGATGATTTAGTTAGCGTTTTGTTTGATAAGGTAGTTTTAACCTGTCTGAATGAGATTTTTAGCTTGATCGGTCTTGATTTTACTCAAATATCGATCCTTCAGTTCGAAATAAGTTCCATCGCATTCATCAATCAAATGGGTGAGAAAGATTTTGTTTTTATCGATAAATATCGGACTGAAATGAATCACAGTTGATGTTAGTTTGGATAGAATTACTTAACCTACCGTTCTTTGCGAATCTGCACTATTTTCGTTCGATCATGACATGTCAAAACAGCATGATCACCATCTTTAAACAAAGCCATCTAAAACAAACATACACTAATATTTCTTCCATTGTCATCGAATATATTACGTTAAAAGCATCTAGCAAGTAATTCATTAAAGAAATACACAAACAAATAAAACAAAGCGACTAGTAAAGACGAGAGAAATATACTGATTTGTTTCTATACGTGTACATATTGTTAACGAGATGATCCTTTAGCAAAGACGTCACTGATTGCATGAAGAATAATCGAGACTGCGTATGCACCCGGATCAACAGTTGGTGTATCCACAGCTTTCGTATACGATGCTCGGCCGACTTTGGCAACGAGAGTTTTCGTTTCATTGGCAGCACGTTCACCGACGAGTGCTAACTCTTTCCAATCCTGTGATGTGAAATTCTGTTGGGCACGTTTTGTTTTAATGAAATCAACAGCTGGTATCAAAGCATCTAATAGACTTTTATCACCTGGTTGGACACGTGCATACGATTCAACCGACTGAATTCCAGCTTCGAATGCATCACTAAGACTATCGATGATTACACCGGATTTGATTGATAATGATAAGTGTTTAGCTACAGCAGCAAAGAACAATCCACAAACTAAATCATAATGAGTTTGAGAAGTTTTATATGAACGAGGTGTATCTTTACTTGCGCCACAGGTGCCACCCATTCGACTTTCGGCAATGAGACCAAGACGACGAAATAACGATGCAGGACGATCGAGTATTAGTTTTTGATTGCTGAGATCATCTGAAATTGTGTCCGCAGCACGGCCGAATGCTGTACCTGTGTCACCATCACCTGAAACTGCGTCCAATCGATTGAGCTTGTCGATTTCATTGTGAAGCCTTTTAACCACTGTCTGAAGAGCTTGATTAATCAATTCAGCAATCGATGCGTCGAATAGTAAATCCGATTGACTAGAACAGAAAATCGAACTCGATGTTAAGTTCTATTCGCTAGTGTGTGAAAAATGTTTACTTAATCACAAGTTGAGCAGTAAATTCATCGTTGAATTCTAATGAATCAGACAGAGTTTGAATACTCGTTGGTAATTGCGTTGGGCTGATTATTTTTGGCCAGGCAAAAGCATCGGTTGGTGCTTCGAGTAAATTCAATATGGTTGTACTCATATCTGTGGACAGTTTCAATACTGTCAGTGAAAAACCTTTCATATTGAGTGATGTCATCAATTCTCCGCAGATCACGCGTTTCACATGTAATGCTCGATGTTCCAAATTTTCAATAGCATCTTTCACAATGATGCCGAATTCAAGATTCGAACAACCACCTGAAAATGAACACTAAAAGCTGAACCATTTGTACAAAATGATGTTAAAAAACAAACCGAGATTATTGACTAGAAGAAGTACAGTATCATCACGTTTGATATCCAATGCACGTGTACCGCGAAAAAGTTGACCAAATGCTAAATCTGTTGCTTGTCGTGAAGGTAAAAGCTTTAATTTTTGAGCACCGCATTCGCCATGAATACCCATGCCTAGTTCCATTTCATCATCAGGTAACTAAAATATTGACGAAATTATTCTTCTTTGATATCGAAGCATAGTTTCACTCGAAAAACCTACATCAAAAGCTTGTTGCTGACCTGGTGCGCGAATACCTGATGCAGATAAACCAATCGTGCGTAATTGGCCTCGAACCTTTTGACAAATATCGACAATTTCACTCATCGTTTTCCCCTGTTCAGCCAATGCTCCAGCAACTTTAATCACCAGTAAAAACCCAGCTAAACCTCGCGGTCTACACAAATACAAACAATTAAATCGTATCTAACAGTTCTGCTTTGCATACCCAATGGCATTGTCAACTGCTGCATCATCGGCTACTACTAACATATCGATATCAATTGACAATTCTCGAGCACGTTCCATTGCTAAACCAAAATTCAATCGATCGCCAGTATAATTTAAAATAACCAAAAGTATCTGTTTAGCACCACGACGTTTCATTTCGATAATAAGCCGAAAAATGTCCGACGATGGTGGTGAGGCAAATATCGAACCCGATATACCTAGAAATCAATCGTCCTAAACATTCGTTGACACTCGAAAGCATTTCTTACAAGCACTTAATAAACCACGACCAACAAATCCAACCTAAACGATACAATTCACTGTTTGAAGTGGCCTCTGATTCGGAGATTTACCGTTGCTGGTTCATGACCAGAGCCACTTCCGCTGACGATTGCAACTGATGGAACTTGCGATCGAGCAATCACTGCTCTACCCGCTAATTCTAGATGACTGTGTGCTCGAACATAACCGATCAGTGATTCGTCTACACATGAGTGAATGTCGTTTACAAAATGGCCTGGCATCTGAAAGAGAATGTTTTTGGTTTTCAATTGTTTTATCTCAATGAGGAGATGAAAATCCTGCTGGTTCATTTTTATTATTTGCATTTTGCACACAAAGATAAAGAAATCGTTCACCCATATACTCAGGACTAACTAGTTTCTCCACAGCACTCAAAATTTCCTTTTGTTCTTCCGGTGATTTGTCACGAGCAAGTGTCTAAATATGAAAAAACGGCATATCAATACGCATTACGACGAAAGATATTTCTTACCGATGCTCGTATATCAATCCCCAAGTTATAGAGAAAGTTTCGTTGAGAAACAGGCCCATAAAAATGAACTAAACGAAAATCTTCGGTGATTAATGACTGTACATTCTGCTTACCATTCGCTATCTGACTACCACTTAGAGCTAATTCTTCGAAATCAACATCAGCTGTTATATCGATATTTCCAGGATCGGACAGTGCATCAACAACTTCATGCTTACGAAAACCCTATTTAAACAAATACGTTCCACATAACCTGGATTGATGTTAATGTACCTACACGAAGTGTATCTTCTTTTTCTCCCCAATGCCCGTAATCGCCGATCAATGCTGAACCGCCATGAGTTGATAGGTGTTTACATATACCTTGCATCATGACTGAACGTTCGGGACTAATTTCGACATGTTGTCGGTCATCGATACCGTTGAGGAACTGAAGGAAAACAGGAGAAATTAAGATAATTAGTTAGAAAAGTATCGTACATTTTGATACAGTCGACTCATGATTGTTTGTTTTGACGATAAAACATATTGAAGTTGTTTAGTAGTTGGATTCCAATCGATCATAACTTCTCGCCAACCTTGAGGAGTTTTCTGAAGATTGAAAAAAGTTTTCGAGTAATTTTCATCAAACCAGAGAACATTTTACCTGAAATTTATGAATTGGATATGCATCAAACAATTCATTGGTAACGAAATATGTCTTTCGAGCTTGTAATTGTTTGAGATCATCAATCCACATCAACGAATAATTACCATCAGGTATACGATAGTCATTCGAAATAACCGGATCGAACTTGATAGGAAGCAAGAAAATTTGAAAAACTGATTTTTCTTTCTTATTTGAATTACTGATCGATGTAGCAATGTTTCAGCTTGGCGTCGACGCATCAACGCACTGGCTTCATACAGAGCAATTGATGTGTGTGCATCGACATATTTTCGCTTTCTTAACACCTTAAAAACTCAAATTTCTTTTTCACACACAAAATAGCAACTTACTCGAACGATATCATTCATTAACGTACCTCGGCCAGGCCCTAATTCAACCAATTGTAAATCCTTGCTGCCAGAATTGGAATGTTCATACATAATCCATACAGCTAATAACTGATTTACCAGATATAGAAAATCTATTTACAATCAAATGATCGTACTTCACCAAATATCTGACTTATTTCCGGTGCGGTGATGAAATCACCCTTTCTGCCGAATACCTCATGGCGAGTGTAATAACCCTGAAAGAAAAAAAAATGACAGTAACTAGATTCGTCTCATGAATATTGATTAGAAAAACAGCTCAGCTAGAAGTATGATTACATATTGTGGATTTAATAACGATTCACGCATAAAGTCAGCAATTGTGATCGGACCACCGGCTTTGATTCGTGTGGACAGTTGTTTTATTAATCCGTTCGTATCCGATGAAGCCCATGTTGCTGAAGAAGAATGAGTTGACTCATTGCTGATATTGGATTGATTACGATAGAGAATCAAACGATCGATCTGTCGAACAATTGCACGAGACTTTTGACGAATGACGAACATCTGAAATCGAACTGCATACCTATGAAAAAATGATTGATGTTTTTCAGTAAATCATCGGATTAGCTTTAACTAGTTTATCATACTGTCATAGTTATGTCGTTTTATTTTGCTATGTGTCACAAATAGCCAAGGAAAATAAATGCAATCTCAGTCGTTTTCTTCTGTTTTGTTTATCTCCGCTCTGTTTTATATTTAGTAGGCATTGCACGTATAGTGTATCTTATCCTGAATGAAGAGAAGACAGATAACTATTAACTATCAGGAAAAGATCTTTTATATATTTTTAACGAAAAAGAAAAGACTGAATCACAAAACGCTAATAAATCAAGGAAAGACCTGTGCATTCTTGTATTTTCATCGAGAAAAGAAATTTCTTCGATCGAGAAATACCTCATAAAACTATTTTCCCCTCGAGAAGTTAAGATTTATCTCCTATATTCTTCTCTATCTAACGATGACAATATCAGAAACTGTCTCATTCAATATTTGACAACAGTAAATGAGGTACCGTATCTTCGATAGATATCATTCTATATACGCACTCGCTCGTTAGTCTCCTTTGCTTACACTACTCGTTGGCTTTGCCATTGAGATTGAAGTATATTCTCATATGTCACGTGTCAACACTTGTTATACAGTACTGATACAAATACACAAGACAAACATATAGACATATTGACCAATAACTGAGTACGTTTTGTAACCAAAAGAAAACTATTTACAGAAAACAATGAAAATAGTTTAATTAACAAAGATTATATCTAGAAAATGTTATTGATCGGCTGAGTCGAATACTAGTGTTGTACCATTCGATGGAACTTTCACAGGTTTCATATGCATCCAAGGATCATCTAACATATTGGCTCGAAAAAACCCTCTTGAAGTACGATTTCCGTAATAATTCGTTGTCGGTGGATGTTCGTTATTATCTGCAGATCGTTCTTGGTGTTGCGTAGAACTCGAATCGCGATTTTGGTGACGATAGCCGCCGCCACCACCACGTTTATTATAAGGATAACGAGGACGTTGTTGAAAATCTATAAAGACTAATTAAGTATAAATTTCAACAAGGAATGCTTTTATATACCTCCGCGTGGCCGTGTTCGTGTATTGGCTGTTGAATAAGGACCTACGAATCGAAATGATTGATTTTTAGAGAGAAAAATGTATGGAAATTTTACCTTGATAATGCCCATGCCCTCGAAAACGTGGTTGTGATTGAACAGGCTCTTGCCATGTTGTGGAATTGGATTGATATGAATCGTGCGATTCGGGTGGCGGACAATCTTGTTGGTCCATATTTTCAGTTTGAGTGATCTTTCGTACGAAAAATGAAATTATTTTGAATAAATATAGAGAATGAAGAAACGACGGACGTTTTCATTGGTTGATTGAAAATCGAAAGAGAACAGTTAAATGCGACATCACAATGGTCGTTGCTTAGTTTCGAAAACATCAAATGGCAATGAGAAACGTTCTCTTCCATTGCAAACAAATACTCTAGATATTCAGCTTGATATTCTTAGATGGCCGTACGAGCACATCGCTTACAATCCGCGAAACCTCTGACAATTTCACGATGGTCTGATTTGAAATAAATTGTTTTCGAGTAGAACTGTATGTTTTTTCGCTGAACATTTAGGTGGAGCAATGGTTACCATGGTCAACCGATTGCGTTTGTCAGTCAATCGGTGCTCTTCTATGCTACGGACGATGGTCTGCGTTTTCATGATTTTATCGATAAAGATTTTCAACAATGCACAACATTACAAGCGAATGGACAGGGTGTTGGAGTCATAGTACGTTCTTTGATGAAAGACAAAGATTCAAAGCATTACTATTTCGTTCTCTAGGCTGGTAATGCTGATGTGCATTTATTCGCTTACGCTGATTATCAACATCCACCTGTGATTCACTTACGTGAATTTCCTATGATGAGTGAAGTGAAACAATTTACCAATGGAGCAGAATTAGAATATACTGCAATAGAATTCTCTGCGACAGATGAATTATTAGCATTGTCAAGCGCACCGGACTATCTGCTAACGATTTGGAATTGGCGTTCGGGAATGAAATTAGCACAATGTGAAACAAGCAAAAAAGAATTAGTAGAAATTTGTTTTAATCCGAACTCCTGGAATGATATTGGTATACTCTATCGTGATCAGATTAATTTCTATACCTGTGAACGACGAAATGACAAATATTCTCTTTTCGAAAGACAATTACCATTAGAATTGTTCAATCAAACGATCGCACACAATCGTCCAACAAATCAACCATCGCAGCCGTATGATCACAAAAAAAGTATAGAAAAAACGACCACTCTATTTCGATTTGAATCAAACATAACTCTTCTCTAGTTGCTGATGTTATTCGACTATATCCAAGTCGATTTTCATATACTTTAATCGATAGCACCATCGGCATTGATCAAGGTGCGAGCGTTCAACTTGTTGGTATGTTCATTTGAGTATTAGTAATTCGATTGGATATATCGAATATTTCTCTTTAGCATTCGATACTGAAAATGAAGAGGCATTTCAAGCATACGTCGATGAACGTGCCGAACTTGTTGCCACATCGTTCTGTTGGGGTGACAACGGCTATGTTTTCATTGGTACATCAAATGATGCACTTATTCAAGTTATTCTTCAATTTGATCGCGAACGACAACCTTTTCGTACAACACTTTTCGCCGGCGAAGAAGCCTCGAAAACTGCAAGTTCACTTGGCGTGTTCAAAACGATTCGTTTACACCAACAAGGTCTATTCTGTACCGGTTCAGATAATGTCGTTCGATTAATCACATTTGACAAGCATGATGGAGCATTGCAAGATGTGAACAATGTCAATGACTTTATGGAATTAACATCAACATTGAAATCGATTGCATTCAATCAATCCTACGATAGCTTATTTGTTTGTTCAACTCAAGGTATCGATATGATTGATTTATTAACACAGGAACAAAGACCAGTGGCGTTAGTTCCCGTTTCCCTTGGTAAAATCGTCGATGTGGCCATTCTTAGTCCAGCCAGTGAATTGGCTGTCACGGTGAGAGACACAGGCGCATTAGAAGCTTGGTCAATGGCAGACGGTACAAGAAAATATTCGACAAAGATCGATAATCAATCGATAAGTCACATTGCGGCAAATCCTGTCTTACCTCTGATTGTCGTAACAACAATTACGGGTTATTTTTATTTTTTTGAAGTTGATACTCATGGTTTTCGCCTTTTACATCGTATTCGAGTGCATTCCAATGATGTTCGTTGTATTAAATTCAATTCTCGTGGTAATATTCTCATCTCAGTTGGCCTCGATAATAGTTTATTCATCATGGAAATGAAAACAGAAGAAACATCAGCTGAAGACATGTTTCGTATTATCTATCGAACCGATCTGGAAGGTGAACCATTTGCACTGGATTCCGACGATTTTACCAATCAAAGACACGTGAATGAAGGTCCTAATGAAACACAAATTGAACTGGACGATGAGCAAAATGGCAATACGAAAGAGAAGCTGGCTGAAACTCGCATTATTATTGCATTGACGACAAAAACAGAAAAACATGGTCGATTTCTCATCGTAGATTTTGATTGGCAACAATATCGAGGTAGAAGACTTTCACTATCAATCAGTTATGTCCTATTTTCTTTGGTACTGTTCAGAGACGCGTAATTCTTCATTGGCTGATACGATAATCAACGATTCGAATACGAAAATAATTACAAAAACAGTCTTTGCCATTTATGATACCATCGAAGATTTTCTTATCACCGCAAGAAATCAATTGATCACAATCGGAGGAAAAGTTCTACGAATGTGTCGTATACCGGATGAAACTGGAAAGGTAGGACAAGAAAAAGACATGTTTTAATAGAGATTTCTGTATGTATAAACAGAATAAGACTGAACGGCGTGGACGACGAGGCGTGAGGAAACTTTTCATTTCTCTTGCATATTGCTTTCTACGCTGGAGCGTTTTTTGATCATGAATGATTGTTTTTCTCTTATCCAGGATTCGAAAAATCGTCGATTGAAATCGAAACGAGATGTATAATCCAAATTGCTCATGATTTTTTGCTTTTATACTTTATTTCTACCACGAAATCTTCTCGAATGTTCTCATATCTTTCCTATCTAGGCAGGCAAATTGATCAGCGTCGAGGCACAAGACTCACTCGCTGGTTTATCGACTCCGGGTGGTTATTTATACAAAAACAAATCCGTTCCATCGTGGATTCTCGGTGTTAGTCGAAGTGGAATTCTCTCGACTATTCGCGCTTCAAATATGGTCTATTGATTTGATTTCGATTAGCCTTTAAACCCTTCCAACTTTGTAGGCAGTCGAATCATCTGTCCCAGCACATAGTTCGTTGGCCGGTGGTTGTCATAAATCAGCATGGAGTGTGGATTCGAAATATTTCGTTTCAATCGGTGAAGATAATTCGATTGTTGTTCTTCAAACCAAGTAATTTCAAAGCATTACACCGGCATATCAACGAGTAAAATCGATTTGATTTAGATATGCTGGTCGGTTGATGGCCCGAAATGGTTATTCAACAGAAGAATACAATCGTATTATGAGAAATTTTCACCATATGCCAACCTATGACAATGCTCCATTATCTCTATACGAAACTCTCTACGATCGATTTGTAAGAAAACGAGAAATCTTCGTCGTGTGATGAATTATCTGTGTTGATAGACGACTTATCAAACGAAATTCGAAAGTGCCAATATGACTCCACCATTGCCGCCAAAGGAAGATGCGTCATGGATACAATTGAAAGAATACGAGGTAGGCATTAGTTTCTCAATTGTTAAGTTATCCGATGATGAGATATGCTTTTAGGCAGCATTGCAACATCTCGATGCACATTTAACGTCGAAAATTGAGATTCGTACTGAACTTGAACATATTCGAAAAGATGTATGAAAATTGATAGAGTTAATTTCAGAAGGAAAACATTAAGATTTGAATAGATTCGTGATCTGATGGCAATTAATGATAAACGTGAAGATAAGGCTAAACTTGACCGACGCGAATTTGATTTGGATGCGGAAGAGCAAGATCGACAACGAAAAGAACGCGAAGCACTAATCAACAAAGTAAGTCAATCAAAATTTCACTTTCATCTTTAATATTTTCAAGATGTAGATGCGAGAAGAAACCATCGCACAAAATCTTACTCGTCTAATGAAACGCGAAGTTATCAAACAACAATGCTGGGACGCGATGTCTGTTAAAGGTCGATGCATCGAAGTGTGTATTCATCTGCTCATCAAATCGATCTACTCGTCTCGCTGTCATTTCAGGGTATCATCAATCCAATTCGCAAACCAAGCGCACCAGTTGTAGTGGAGAATTATCCTCTGATACCACGTAGTCTCGATGAACTAGAAACTATTCGTCAAGTGATAGAACGACGTCGAATCGAAATTGCCGAGAAGAAATTACGCCGACAAATTTTTGCAGATAATCCTGACCCTAATGGAACAGAAGGAGTAACAACAACGGTAATTCACAAAATTCTCTTCTTCTATGATTGAATGCTCGAGTTTTAGCGCCCCGAGGCACCTGTGACAGAAAATGAAGACGAACATGATAAACAAGTAACACGATCGACTGCATTAATTGGCTCAGTTTGGTAAAAACTTGTCGATCGAGATATAATCTTGTCTATTTAAGCGATTTTATTTTAGCAATGAATTTCAAGTGGATAGCTCCGTACTTTACAATCAATTTGAACTGTACACTCAAGAACAAAAATGGACACAGATTGCTCTATTGAATGACTTGATCTACAAAATCAAAGAAGCGTTCAATAAAGAATTCGAAAATGTACATCAGCGTAAATTGCAAGAATTAGCGAAGATTCGCGAGCGAAACATGCGTATCAAGCAGATTAATGCTGATCTCGATGATCCAAGTCCTGTTTGGGAGCCTGATTTGACTGAAAAGGAAAAACCACAATTACTATTCGAAGTCAAAGACTCCGAGGTCCGATTGACTAGATCATTTCGAAGACGAAACGAATCAGTGATGTGTTTTAGATCAAATCCGAACGATATTACACACCAGAGCAGTTGCGAATATTGGAAGAACAACGTTTGAATGAAGCACGTCGACGAGAGTTAGAACGACTTGATAACTGGCGTGAACGAGGTTTAAATGATATGATGAACGGAGTGTTACAAGTCCGACGAGAAGATGAATTGAAAAAGGTTTGTTTCGAATGGAATTGATCGAGAAAGAATCGATTCAATTGATTTATTTAGGAAATTCCCAAACCAGCTTTTGCTTTGGAAAAAGCCGAAGAAGATTGGACGGATGCAGAGAAACAAGCATATCAACAGTATCTACAAAAAGTCAAAGAGCAAAAAGAAGAAAGAGAAAAATTACGAAAAGTTTGTTTTCACGCCTTCGTAAGCAATACTTTACCTTTCTCTTCTCAAGGTTTTAACTGCAGAGTCCATGAAAATCAATGAACAGATTCAAGAAAGTTGCCAGGCATTCGAACAAGTTCTCTCACAACTACATCGACGACGCATCACTGCTCAAACCGCTGTCCTTCAAGTAAATTTCCATTGAATGTAACGAAGAACAATTTTACATGCGAGTTTCTTTTTAGGAAGAACTGAAAATTAGTCGAATCATCTTCTCTCTAGTGAAAGATCGATTGATTCTTCAGTTAGAAGATACTTATGAGAATCGCGCGAAGTTCCTGGAAACGAAAGTCCAGGATCTCGAGCTTTCAAAACGCGCTTTGGAAGATGCACTTGTCAAAGTCGACGTGGAAAAACGACGGTTAAAAGCAGAAGATACATTCGATAAACAATTTCCACGCGAATTCGCTGACGTCCCATCAGTCCTACAAGATTCATTGAAACGTTTGTTAATAAAACGATCAAAGTACGTCAAACTTCTTCTGTATGTTTTTTTTTGCAAAATGAATCTGTCTTATAGAATGAAACAACCGAAACCACCAGAAGAATACAATCCATATTCAGCCCGACAGGCACGTTTAATTGAGCTTGAACTTGATCGAATTCAATCAGAAGCTGATTCATTCACCAATGCCCCGACGAATATTGTTCGATCTGTTTGGGATCGTTTCGTCGACTTCCGAAGAAAACGCACCGAACTCGAACGACAGGTACGAAATTGTCCATCGGATGAAAACAATGAAACGACCCATGAAAAAAAGATCTTTTTCGCATTTGACACTGACCAGAAAGCATGTCGTATCTTGTCAACATTTGCACTGAGATATTGAATCAGATAACTACAAAGCATTCTTTCTTCCTCTGCTATAAACTAGGATATTGATGAAGAAACTTTAGAGTTTTTTCAATCTATTGAAAATTATGATAATCCAGAGGTAGGTCCGATGTTGTTTCGATATTTTCACTGCATTATTATTGATCCCCGTCCCCATAATATTCATCACTTATTTAAAGATCATTCTCACTGAAGAACAGCCTGCTTACAAACGATAATCATTATCTGTTGTTTTCTGGCTGTAAAAGAACAGCATCTTTTAGAGAAAATAGTTGATTCTCTTCGAAGAACTGATTGATGATCATAAATATTTGTTATTCTTTCAGTTACGACTACAAGAACAAGAAGAGACGATGATAAAAAGTTTACGAAGTTTACGTGATGGTGAATTAAATCGAAAAAATAATGAATTTGACCAATTACAAAATAATCTCATCACGTATGTCTTCCCTTTTCATATACATCAATGTTTATTTCTTTGTTTTTTTTAGAACAAAAGATGCGCGCATTGATGATATTGTTGATCTTTACGTTCAAATTGTTCTTAGACAAGGTCAAGTTGAAATCGAATCCCAACCCGCTGAATTGGCCCCGAATGAATACCGAAATACCGATGCTGAACTGATCCATCGTCGTGAAATCGAAGATTTGAATAAATCAATCATTGTAAACCAGTGAATCTACGTCAATCCACTTCTAATGTCATTTTTCTCTCTCACAGGAATCAGCCAACTTCAAAATTCGCCAAATGGACAAATCTAAAGGCGTTATCAATGATATAACATCCATGTCATGGTAAACGAATGGCTCACTGAATCACACCGAATATGTTCGATTTGCTGTTTAGGGAGAAAGAGAAGTTAATTTATGAGATTGCTGATTTGAGACAACGTGCACAGGATATTACCTTTCTGAAAGTAACAAGAAACATCCAAGAGTATCTTGCATGCCCGAATGATGCCGCATTTGAAGCTCAAAAACAACGTGAAATGCAAATGTTAGAAGCTACGATCGAAAAAATGAAAGAAGTTCGTGGAGATTGCTTTCGGTCTTTTTTAAAATTTTCATTCGTTTTCTTTGTAGCGTTTTGCCGAACAACAAGTTCTCAAAGAAGAAGATGTACAAAAACTACAACGTGATAATCTCTCGATAGCAAATGTCACTCTAGCTGTCGATGAAGCTCTTCAGAATGCCAATGTGAACTTGTACGAAAGAAAGAACATCATCGATCAACGAAGTAAATTTGAAGATTTGTAGAAATGGAAATGAGTCGATCTTTTTTGGTAATTTTAGTTATCGAACAATCGAAAGTTGAACAGCGAGAACGTATGCATCAGGTCGTTCGCCGTCGTCGTCTAGTGGATCTAGCGAAAGCACAGGCTCAAGAAGTGGCATATCTACGTGCTGAAGTTGAACGTTTACGCATGAAAACGTTTCCAGCACTCGTTCAAATTGAACATTAAGAACTTCGTTTTCTACACGTTTTATTTCACAGAATATTCGAATAAATATTTGAAAATCTACGAATTTTGTTAAGATCAATCAGTAGGATTAACATGAGTCTCTTCCGGATTTGTGTGCGGCCCATTTTCGAAGAATTCATTGGCATTGATTGTACTCTTATTATTCATTGAGTTCATGATTGCATGAAGAATTTGTTTACTAACTTGTTTCGACGTATCCAGTTGATGATCATTAGTATCCGTTGTGGTCAATGGATGAGATGATTGAGTTTTCTTGATTGGATAAATATTCTTGACGGGTGGCGGAAGCTGCTCGGATTGAGGTGCTTCGTATGCTGTTTGTTCCTCGTCTTGATTGGCTTTAGTTTTACGAGTAATCAATGTAATCGGTAATGCGATCTGCGATTTCTTCTTTCGTTGTGCGCCTTTGTCGATTAATCCGCCAGTTTCTTTCGACCATTGCCAACGACGTTCAGGGGCGGATTCGTCGATGGAAGGTGATGTTTGTCGATTAGGAGAATTCATATGTGTGGTTGATGATTCTTCTATGAAAACATCACCTTCACTTTTTAATTCTTCGTCTTCGTCATTCAGTTCTGAATGATGCGCATGGTCATCAGTTGGACGAGAGAATCTAAAAAAAAGCAATTGTCGAAAAAAGGAACAGTTTTTTTGTTTACAAACCGCGTTTCATCGTCAACTTTGCTGCCAATTTCTCCGTCTGTTGTACTCGATAATTTCTTCAGGAATTTCGGTTTTGTCGGTCGTGCTTCAGTGGCAGATGATACGACCGGTATGTCACCTGGTGGATTCAAATCTTTCTCGGGATTTTTGAGTGTTTTCTGACTATTTTTAATATCGATGTGTTTCTCTTCGCGATCAGACTCATTTTCCTCCTCAATTCGATCGGGTAATTGCGGTGATGTTGATTCGGATTTGGTCTGTTCAATAACAATGGCATTTGGCACACCATAGACACGATTGTTGTCTAAGGCTGTTGAAGAGGAAGACTTTCCTTTTGTAAGAGCTGACGTCACTTTTTTTATTGATTGAGTCTTCTCTTTTTCGTCCGCTTTCTTCTTTGTTTTCGACGATTTTTTGGATTTGTTCACTGCCGCGTCTTGCTTAACTTTCTCATTTTTACCACCTTCGATCGCTGAATCTTTCAATCCTTTCAACCAACGATGACGACCATTTGTTTTTGTTGTTGCAGATAATGATGGTTCATTCGTTTTCGACTGATGTTTCTTCCGATTCTGACTGGATGCTCGTTTATCGTGAACTGCTTCTTGTCGATGTCGAGAACGCGATGCACCTGTTCGGTGGTGATGATGATGCTGTTGTCGATGATGATGTGTATGTTGACCTTGTGAAATTGTATGCGCCAAAGAACTCATCGCAGTGATTGTATACTCGTCATCGTTTGCTGTCTTTTGCGAAGGAGTTCGTCGTTTGAGGATAATGTCTCCATGAGCAGGTTCTAGGACATGCGCTCCTTTTCGCGACTCTCGAGTTGTTGGTGGTCCGAAATTTCCTTCACGACGCTGCTGTGCCGGATGAATATTACGACTTCGATGGGCACGATTATATTGCTGTTGCACTTCATGCGGCATTCGTATTGGAGATATGGATTGTTGTAATGGATATCTTGTTGACGGACTTAAAGTTCGCTGTGGAGACGTGGGAAACGAAGGTGCGATGGGCTGTGGGCGATGATTGATGCCATTGGTAGTATTAACTTTTGTTGCTGATTCAGCTTGAGCAGCAGCTGCTGCTTGCATTTCAAATGCTTTGATTTTCTCAAGTACATTACCATCTTTGACGGCTTTTTGTAGAGTTGAATGTACACGATCCGATGTTGAAAATGGTGTACGCATTGAACGACTGAAATCACAAATAGAATTAATATGAATGGAAACAGAATCTTGAATCAATATTACTGAAAATTTACACCATCGTTCGCGATCATTTGCTCATTAACATGAAGAAAACCGCCGGTATTTCCTAGTAAACTTTTCGGAAATAGCTGATTGATAGTTTTATCTCGGATTAAAGGTGAGCTTGGAGAGATCGATTTGAAGGATGTTGGAATAAGATCCTCATCATGTGATAGTACATGGTTTTGATCAATTGCATTATCTTCGCAAGGCATGTTTTTATCGGCTATCCTTTGTGGATTTTCCAGTACATCAGCTTTCACTTTCGCATGTGGAATCGAGAAGAGTAATTGTACTCCATTGTACCGACCATTGGACGGATCTCGACTATGTTGTTGATAAAATGAATTACCATGAAGAAATTCCCGCATTTGTTTTACATCAGTTCGATCCGCACATCCATTACTCATCTGTTCGTTCAGCTGCGTTCTCCAAGCAGCCCAATCATGTACATTAATTGGATTTCGCTGTGAACTGTCACCACCTGACGATGGCCTTTCAGTTGCATTTCTACCGGTTCGTGTTGCAGACCGATGGCGCGATGGTGATGCATGTTGTTTACGTTTCTCACCAAAGATTAAACGACCTTTTTGAAAAGTAGACTAATTAGTAGTTTACTAATTTCTTTTCATGACTTACCTAGCATCGTATGTTTACTATTTCCGCCTCTCGTCATTGGCGGTTACTTTGACAAAACTCTTCAACTGATTTCAATCATCGTAATATGTTTTTTGTCTTTCTTTCTTGTCTATGAAATAATCATAATCTTTCACTCAATCGTTTTCTCTTTCTCTTCTAATTGGTTCGTGTCGAAAGTCACTTGTGTCGATCGATAACGATGAAGACGACCGTGAAGGCGGAAAGTAATCGTTTGCATACAAGCACAGCTTTGTTGACCGAAAAGTTTTGACAAGAAACCTTCCGTTGAATAAGAAAGCGAAAGAACAAAGAAATTCATACGTAAAGATCAATGTAAACATGTAGAAATGTAACTCTTTACGTTCCTGTCGTCCTACTCATCCACCTTCAATGATCGATACGTCGGCATGTGACTAGATCATCGAGACGACCGATTCGGTATATGTACATAATAATAATACTTTCGTCCTTTAGATTTTAATTAAGTATCACTCAACCTTCCTTTTATTGATATTTCTTATTTTCCTTTAACGTAATAAAACGATGAAAAAAAATCTTGAGAAATCTTTTTTTGTTCTTTAATTTAATATTCAGGATTGCGAAACTTGTTCTGGTTTGAGAACACCAGCTTGTCCAGCTTTCGTTACATAATCTTGAAGAGCATGTTCAATAGCTCCTTCTCGACTTTTATAATTCTGTGAAGTACCCATAACAGTTGCGCTCAATTGTGGACACCAAAATTGTCCACCCCATACCCATTTCCATCGATAGAATGATCCTCGAAATTGAGTTTTACAAACGGTACCAAAAGCATTCACATCTTGGCTATCTTGCCATTTACCATAATACTTTGTATACAAAGCCGTGCCGACATTGATTCCACAAGCTACCCAATTAAATGACAAACAAGCAGGTGGGATATCATTTGCTGCTGTCAAATGATGATTTATCATCGATAAAACACACAAAACAGCAATGATACGACTGATTCTGCTAACCATTTTCGAGTAGATTTGTTTTTAGTTTAGGATCTACTCTGTATTTTGACTTTATATACATGTACGTATACAATACTCAAGTGCACTTACTCAACTTTATGCAGAATTATAAGTATGACTGAATAGATCTATAAAAACGAATTTGCATAATATGGCTCAGTACTCGATATTTCGAGGAAGTAAGAAATATACTTATTCAAGAATGTCAAGTAGTAGTTTGTCGGATTCATTTGCATCTTTTCGAAAAACAATTAGAGGACGTATGGAATGAAATGCCTTTAAGTTTATGGGCTTATCACAGAAAATTTGCATAATTCCATATTAAACAATCGATTCAATTCAGTTAAAAGCAAGTATGAAACGGAGAACAGTAGTGAAATAACCGAGAAGAAATTGAATAACAAAGTATAGTGGCAATATAGAAATCACATGATTGAGCAGTTCGTCGTGGTCATTTCAGTTTCTTCATCTTGATTCGAATTTTCTTTTGTATTTGAAATTCTTTCATTGTAATCAGCATCGTCTTCTTCCTGTTTACTTTCATCGATTTCTCGAAGATTATTCGCTTGAGTTTTAATCGACGTCGATTCCTGTCGGCTGTACCTGTGCGACTGTTGTCGATCGGATGACCCACGACGTGTACTCTCCGCAGCTGGAACTCGAACTGAAGGTCCAGGCAATTCATTATTGGCAACTAGATAAAAGAAGGAAAAACAACGCAATAGTCATTGTAAAATCTATCAACAAAAAGAATGCAATACTTCGTGAATTGATTTTCGCCAAAGCTTTTACGATTTCACTCTTTTCTTCAGCTTGTGGACGAGTATAACCACCGGTAACTGACCCTGTGACGAGTGTAATTCGTGGTTGGTTTTGATGTTCTTCACAAAGCCATAAAACTTTTCCGGATGGCATTAAACATTGTTTCAAGCCAGTCAATTTTTCCTCTGTATCACAGTCCATAATCCATCGGCGTAAATGTCCGTAAGATTCTTTCACTTCCATATTCATCGAACTGGCAAGCTATCCATCAACGAAACGAATTGAAAATTCATTTCTGTGACAAACTTTTCTATTCTTACCTCATCAAGTTTTCGTAATTCAGCTTCACCTTCATCAGTCGTCAGAATTTCCAATGCTAGGTCACTTTGTTTCAAAAGAAGCATAATACGCGTGAGATAAGAAACGCTATTTTGTAAAATAGCTTTATCGGTTATCTCAAATGGAGAGCCCGATGCGTGCCAGTTTTCTTCATTTTCACAAAGTGCACGTATGCATAACTTTTTTACTTTTTCCGGAGGAGGTTGATCTTGAGATTGAGTTTGTCTTTCCGTTTCACGGACTTCTTTATCTCGCTGTCGTTCTGCTTCTTTATCCCGTGCATTATCCTCTTTGTTGTCTGCCTGTTGTGCATGTTGGGAATTCATTTGATTGACAATTTCTATGCGAAGTAATTCCTGGGCAGATTTCTCTTTTTCACGTATGAAATCTACAGCGAATAAACGAGGATATGCTCGTGTGGTCATCGCCTCAGCAAAGCCAGCTGTCAGCCGAAGAAATTTTCGTTGTGTCAATTCGAACAGTTCCTAAAAATATCCATTGACGTATTCGTAAAATCGATATTGGCATACAAACATGATAGGCTTCAGTGGTTTTCTGTGCAGTTTCTGCTGTTGATTTGGCGTTCGATACGTCTTTCATTGAGGTGTTCCGCTTTGGTAGATCGTTCTGTATCAAAACAAAGATGTCTTCGAAAGCAGTAGGATTTTCGAATTGAAAATTGATCTGTTGACAAGTCAAACTACACATGCCGACTTCAGTCGTTCGCCATTTATCTCCGTTGCCAAACACAGCGAGAATAACAGGTAGCCGAAGAGTATTTTTAGCAAAGAGAAATTCATTTCGACAAACTTCACTTTGTGTGTATTCATCGGATACACATGCAATGACCAATCGAGTATTTTTCAAACCCTAAATAAACAATATCGAATACTGGATATCAGAGAACATCTTATGCATTTTTCGTACCTGAACAATTTCATGAAGTACGCCAGAATTGCCTAGACGAGTAATGTCCATCCAAACACTCAAACCACGTCCTTCCAGATAATCCTATTCGAACAATACAACTCATATGACATATGTTCAGATAATAAATCTTACTTTCAAAGATCGTGGGTCTGCCCAACCAATGGAAGTAGCAGTTGGTTTTGTTCCTAGCATAGGAAATCTATAAGCAACTGTTCAAATAAAAAAATGCACACACCTTTATGAACAGCATCGTGTGAATTCGCCCAACAATAACTGATAAATACATCCGTTGGTTCATCACGTAATTGTTGTTTACTCTTGCTGTTACTCTCGTTCTCCTGTTCAATTAAATCGACTAATTCAAGAATACGATTGTCATATCGTTTCGGATTTTGCATATTAACGTAGAGTTTGTCTGATAAGACGACGCCAATGTCACTCTCCTTCCATTTCGAATCCGTTCCAAACAGAATCGGAATGATTGGTTTGCGTAAAATGTTCAGAATGGTTTGTAACGCATCGCAGAGATTCCTATTTTCAGTATTCTGAAGCAATTCGGTTGAAATACCAAAGAGAATAGATTTGGCTTCTTTAATGACTAAATAATGATTTTCAATTTTGAATTCTTTCATCGAATCAGGTGACCAAATTTTCAGACCGCGTTCTAAATTTCAATCAGACAAGAATGCTTCCTGAACAGGAATTTCCGAAAAACTATGGATATACTTGTGAGGTCATCGTTGATTTTTCTCGGATCGACTTTCGTTTCAATTTGATTAGCCGTTGGAATATGCTCAGCTGGATAGAGATAGACGATATCCACTGCCACGTTTTGTTTGTAAGATTTCAGGTCACGTACGGAATATTCCAAATGTAAATCATAATTGCTTTTACTATCAGGTGGAACAAGTGCTTGTACTAAGGGGTAGAAATGTATTTATCAATGAAAGATAGTGAAAGAAAGTCACTCTTACAGTCGGTAACAGATGCTACGTGAAAGAAACGATGGCATTGAATTGATGGCGACTTAAGTTCGATAGCGCGATTAATTAATGAAGAGGAGAATTGCCATGGTTCATTGGTACCCTTCGAAGAAAAAGGAGTTTCATTCGAGAATATCTTTTGAGAAATAGATTTTTACGAGTTCAACACAATCTGGACATGGAAATGCGATGTCATATGTAACACCAAAGAATGATTCATTGACGAGCCCTTCGAAAACTTCATGAATGAGGAAAAGAATATTATCTGGTCGGACACCTTGAATTTTAATATCAATATGCCGATCTAAGCAAGGAAAACGTAGATATGAAACAAATGAATGAGATAGCGAGCGAACCATCAGAACGAATTATAACTGCTCGATGATTATTCTTGACTAATAATGAACCATATCGCCAAATTGTGGATTTATCCGAAAATTGAAAAAGACGAACTTGCGCTCGGTTGAATAAACCCGCTACGATATAAAAAAAAAGCGAACATTAGTCACTAGAAAACACACACAAAGCTGAACCCACCAGGAAGATAATTGAATGTGTACACAACTTTCAATTCTCGATGTTCTGGATCGGTATCGTCTTCATTCCATGTATACTGAAAACAAATCGCAACTAAATGATTTAATATGACAAAGTCAGCAAACCTCCGGTTCTTCTTCAGGCAACAAACATGGTACTAAATTCATATTCTGATCAGGTACGGGGAATGTTAAATCAAATGCTTCGGTTAATTTCAGTATCCAAGGATGTAACTCTTCCTGATAATCTTTCCAAATGATTCCAATATCTGAATAATTTAATCTTCCGTCTTTGACTGGACTATCTTTAATACTGACAATGCAAGCCATAACATTGACAATCCATTGTGGATTGATGACAACGTAGTTTTTCAACTGTTCCGATGCAAAATATTGTAGCGAGCCGAGATCATGGAGAAATTGAACTGATTGTAAGACTTCGTCGGGTTCGAATATTCCAGCGTCATGAGCGATTTCTTCCACTTCTTTGTATTCCAGAATGTCCTCCTTGCGCGTAGTGATGATGTTTTCAAAATTCAACCATGCTTTGGGAATTTGTTCGTCCATGTAAGGTAATGCAAGTGTTGTTCGAATGATATTTTCGATTAAACTGTCGACATTTTCTCCTGTGTATGTGCTAACATTGATAAATTCAGAGATTTGAGGATAACGTCGTTTGAGATCATCTTGGCGCAAATCAATACGAGAGACTTGATCCATGTGAGTACCGACAACGAAAATAGGTGCATTTGGCGCATGACAACAGATCGATGAAAGCCAAAAGTCAAGACCAGCGTGTTCAGCGCCCAAACGAATATTCCAAGCTAAGACATAAACAGCTTTCTTTGCCAAAAAGAACTAAATATCACAACATATTTTCGCACAAAGTCAAATCAATGCAAATCTCCTACTTGATGCGTATGATAATAAACCGATTGCCCAGCAAAATCCCAAACACTGAATTCTAGTACATCATCAGGTTCACCCAGTGGTACTTTCCATTTGAGAATATCAATACCATCAGTCACTTCTGGCGTCGAATCGGAATGGGAGGCGAGAAAAGCTCGAACTAAACTTGTTTTTCCTGCACCTCCCAGACCTACTAACATCAGTTTTGTTCGCTTGCATGTCGTCGAACCGCCGATCAACCGTTGTAAAAACGCCATTGTTTGTGTAAGTCCACGACGGATGATTTCCGCTGGTGGCGTTTTCAACGAGACACATCCAGTTAAATTCAGTTCTTTCAGTGGTAATAATCCGACTTCTGGACTGATTGTTTCCAATTCAATGCAATGACTCAAATTGAGTTCGCTCAAATATCGAAGCTGTTTGATGGCATCGGGAACAGTTTTAATCGCTTGATATTGAAGAGTCAAAGACGTTAGCTGTTCCAATTGAAAGATCGATGAAGGAAAGCCTGATGTATCGAGAAGGAATGATTCTTGTTTAGAAGCATCTAAGTCATTGGTGCTTGATGGTTCAACCGACGATCGACCAGAACCAGGCTGAAAATATTCAGATCGAAATTGAGATTTACTGACGAAAGGATAAAATAGAACGATCTTACTATTTTCGTTTGAGTTTGTCTTAAACGCGGAAGAAAACGATAGATATGTGCATTCATTAGATTAATCTCCGAATAGGATAACACTCCATTAAGATCTTCATCATACATTTGATAGATTGCTGATAATTCATCCTTGCTTAAGTACGGAATAAATTTATTCATGAACGATTCATACTGAACGACTTCATTCACGCTCATGCCATCAATTCCCCACCAGGGTACACCGTTCAATACTAATTTTGTTAATTTCGATCGACCGTCTGCACATAATGTCAATGGTAACGTCGAGAAGATGCTATTTGTTATTGTTAAAGTCTTTAAATCGGATGAAAATCTTGAATTTGGGTTGATGTCAATTAATTGACCAAGTTCGTTCAACTCGACAGATTGCAACGATCGCGGAGTGAAAAGATCGATTGGTAAACTCTCCAGCGGATTTTGACTCAACTTAATATGTGACAATTTCTTCAACGAACGAAATTCCACATCAATCGTTATCAAATCATTGTTTTCCAACGAAAGAAAAGTTAAGTTCCTCAGTGCATCACCATTTTTATGACTTAACTGAAATCGATCGATAACAACGTTATCAGCGTCTATGTATTCCAAAGCATTGAATTTAACGAAGAACTCATCGTTAAACAGCAAACGATTTTGTAATGGATTTTTCTTCGGCTTTCTCATTTCAAAGTAGAATATACTTGCGGCATAGTCACCAATCGCAGTGATACGTTGTTGAAAGGATATGTCCGATGTTTTCACTTTGCTTTCATCATCACGAAGCAAACTGCAGTAATAACATTCACCATATTTTCCGAACTCCAGATAAGGTTTTCTCAGCAAATTTTCATCAGAAAGACTAATAGCGGCGCAAGTTTTCTTAAAACCAGCAAATAATTCTTGGTCATTATAAATCGTATGGAATAACTCAGGAGTTTCTTCTGTGATATTGACTCCGTAGCGTTGAATGTAGAAATCGGTTGATCGCATACATGTGATATACGCACTTAACTCCAACCAAGAACGCATGTAGACTTCAATCGTTTGTTTGGAGAATGAACCGTTTTTGTCCGAAATTAGTTGTGATGTCGAAGGTGCAATTGGATGTTTCTGAATAGAGGCAAAATTCTACTGTAATAACGAATTTTTTCAGGAGAAATTTACTTGATTTCGAGCAAGATCAATAGCAGTCATCATACAGATTGAAATAATCGACATATCAAGTTCCGATTTATTTAGTGCGATACCTTTGGTATCTATTAAATGACAACCGAATACAATCGTGTTCGAATCCAATGGCGAATAACCTGAAAGTTACTTCGAATAGTTCAATGATAACCTAAGAAGTCGTTTTCACTCACATCGATGATTGCAAGTCAGATGGAGATTGATATCAGTTCCATTTTGAAATTGTTTCAAACACGGATATATTAACATTGTCGTATCGAACGATGCTGGTAACATAATTACGCCTGAACTTGTCAAAGAAGTGGCATTTGTCGATTTGATGCGATGCTCAAAAAGAATTTGATTAGCGATTTCATTTTGAACGATTGTATTCATTTTTTGATATTTAACTCGAACATTGTGATAATGACGACACGAGAGACGAATAAATGCCGATTTCGTTATACCATGAGGAAAATATTCGATTGGCATACCCTCCGTTTGTAACTAAACAATCAGAATATCGAAACAAAATTTGTTTCTCATTTGAATTTCTTACATAATTGAAACATTCATATGGCACTGGTTGTTCATTCTTTTCTGTTAAATAGTTTCGCCAACTGAACGCACCGTTGTAAGCTAAAACATCAAATCAATCTATGAAACATCCATATAGATTGCTTGTCTATTTACATTTTGGTTTATCGAAACGATTGAATGTCAAATGCGAATGTCCGTTGGTTACATTGATATTTTTGTATAAAACTCGTTGAATATATTCCCAATAACCACATGGATGTAGATCAGGATTATCAGTTTCAACTGTGTAGTCATACGTTGAGGTCCATCCGTCAAAATTAATTCGTATGCGATTGTCTTCGTACACTTCGACTGAAAGATAATCGGACGTAAGAATAAAAAAATCGAAACAGACGAGAAAATACATACTGATGTTTGCAACAGCTAATATAGATGGATTTTTTCGGTCTTTAGCTTCGAGACGCATACCAACTTTCCAGGGAGTTTCGATTTTACTTTCAAAAATATGTTCATCATTGTCAGATGGATTTGCAACAAATGCTTTATCCTAAAAGATTAACACATTCGATTTTCCAATTATAGTCTCATGTTAAATCAAACTAACAAGAGCTGTCGTATAGTGATGGATAAATAGTCGTATATTTTGGTTTGCGTTAGAAATTCCTGGAGTTTGAAGATAGGGCTGAAGCGTCGTCTGAGCAGTTTTACGTCGAATTGTTTTCCGAGACCATGGAATGTCATTAATGGATAAAACCATTTCGTATGTGTTCTAATGAAGAGAATATCTTACATAGAAACATAGGATTCATGACTTACAGGTTTATGAGTGAGAATAATATCTATACGTAATCGTAAACCATTGTAGAATTCCTGTACAGTGTCGGTTTTTTTCTTTTTTGCATTTGATCGTTTTAAACCACCTACGCCACCGAAATTACGAATTTCGTCAAGGAAACTCATCGGCTAAAATTTTACAAAAATGCTTTTTCTTAACAAAAATATAGTGATTAGAAAGACCATACTTCTTGCTTTTGTGCGTTTCTTTCGGATTTTTCGACTGACGTATTCACATTGAGACCATATTCAAAGAGTATTTTCTCATCTTCTTTTATTTGAGAGTTATTTCTAGAAATATCCCTTCAGGAAGAGAAAATCAATCGAATTGACAACTTACATCAAACATCCTATTTCCATCAATGAGAACAATGCTACCGGCGATACTGGCGTAGCATCATCCGTACTTACAAATACGACCTCAAATGAATTACATCCCTCTGGTGTCAAACACTGTTTACCAGTATAGGAAAATGTAGTGGAAAGTGAACTAGCATCGAACTGATCTCCTTTTGTAGAACGAAAAGTAGCCTGTTTGCGTTCTATATCAAGTACGACAAAGCCCGATGGATCTGTTTCACTTTCCGTCTGCGTCGTTGTGTGACGTGCAGGTGATAAAGTTGCACATGCCCTCTGAAACGAAAACATTCAAGAAAATCAGATATCATAGGAAAAAAAGCTTTACATAAAGCGATTTATTGGCTGCAGGACGAAGGCCACACACGGAACAAGCAGTGGACAATGTCGGAGCAGGTGAGTAATGATATAAAGCTAGATGATGCCATTTCGAAGTCATGATTTCATTACCTGAAACGATAATTAACCAAATCTGATTGATTCAGTATCATTTGTTATACCTACCGACAATGGTTTCAAGAGAATCGGATGTTTTAGCATTGCCTGTTCGGACCTAGGTTGAAAGGCAGAAAGAAACATCGTTTGAGAATACTCATATGATTTACTTTGAAAGCATAATCAAGTTTGAATAGATAAGCCCAAATGATGACATAGTATTCTCTGATGAGATATTCAAATGATTCTTGAACAAAACTGCTCGAAAGATCGGATGCATCTTTCGGAAGTAAATCAAGCGTACGGAAAGTAACCCTGATATCTATTTTGAAGATTTCTCTAAAGCAACACTTTCTTCAAGCTATCAAGATGGATTACCTGTTCCACGATCGATTTCATGTTGGTATTGGACTAAAATTTCCACGGCACCTTCTAGAATCAACAGAAAATCTCTTGAAGCAAGCAGTAATTTCTGCGAAGGAAGCAATTTATAAAACTCAAATAAAATGGCTGCATCGCATGGATGTAATAATCGAAAGTGGATAACAAATTCGCGATCATCCTCTTCCCATGTCTCCGGCCAAACTGTACTCTACAATAAAATAGTACATCTCCCTCTCTCTCATCTTCCATCGATTTTCAACTTACTAAAGGAACGGGTGGTTTCGATGCAATCGAATTGGATAAAAGAAACATTTGTTGATCGTTCGTGTTTATCGAGAAACCAATATTCCAAGTGTTGAATAGCCATTGAAAGAAATTGGTCTTGAATGCAAAGAGATGATGAAAGAAACGTTTTGCTTTCTTCTTACTTCATCGCGATTGATTTGAAAATTTTTGAAATCGTATTTTGTCAACAAATGAACATCTGAGCCAATTGTAGATTTGATTTGATCAAAGACTTGTTCGGTTTTTCGATGCGGACGCGATTGAATATTGAGCAACTTATTCAACATTTGGCAAAACCATTCCATATTCGAAACGTAATACGACTCTCCACTACTTGTCGAATGAATATCAAGAACAGTATCCTTGAGAAAGACATTCATCAGATCAGATTTCGAATGATTTTCTTCACTTACAGTTATTAATTTATGTTGAAAATAAATCTTTGCTAATTTCATTGAACTAGGTAATACTTCTTCTTCCCGTTTTCCTTTTGCTTCTTTTGTTAGCTGATTGATAAATGTGTTGACCGACTCGCTTGTTTTCACCACCGTTTCATTCGGCATCTTCTCGAAACTAAATGTATATAAAGTATCACAGTGTTTCACAGCATCTTTTGCCATATGATTTGGAAGAAATGACGAATCCTACGAAGGAAAGATAGCTAACTAGGAGCATGAACATCTAGATTAGAAAATGAATACCTTCTGTTTAGAAAGTAAACATTGATCTTTGGTTAATTTCTTCGTTAATAAATCGCATTTGGTTTGTGTGTGCAACAAACTACTAAGAAAATGATTTCGTCGATAATCGTCATTCTCCGATCTGAAAAACTCGATGAAAAACGAGATATTTTCCTGGATTTGATTGATCTCTTACACATTTGGATTATCATTGTACACATGATGCGTATAGAGCTCATGTGCCGATTTACTGATCGATTTCAATTTCGAATGGAGGTCCGATAGGAAATGATCCACAGATTCATGATTGTCAATAATTAATCGAAGTTGGTGATTCTGTGTGAACGATAAGATACTCATTAGGTTCTTCTCTTTGTTTACTTACCAAAATTGAGAACGATAGATCACAATCGATTGAGAAGAGACATTTTAGTAAATCATCAGTATTGGAAACAACGAGATAAACTATTTGAGGATGAAAAGATGTGCTTAATTCTTTGAAGAGAATAGACTAGAAGAAAAAACAAGAAAGAAATTCGATTCGGATAAATGAGAAAACTGCGAGTTTACGTTAACACATTCGAGATAGGCGATTTGACATTGTCCGGATGTTGTCAATAGATAGCTGATGGTCATCGGAGAACTTTCTTTGACCTTTTGGATTTGATTGATGATCATTTTATCTGGTGAGAGAGTGGAGTTTGGTAGAGACGTTGTATGATAGATCAAAACTTTAGAGATAGACGTTTTCACACTCTAAATTATTCTCATTGATATACAAGAAAGTTCAGATTGAATGAGACATTTTTACTTGTTTGAAGAAATCTTCCAGTTTTGTAATCGTTGCAGTGGTTGAGTTCATGTCGATTTCGATCATCTGACGATCATGAATTAACAAGTCGACATTCTGGAAACGGATGACAAGAAATGACAAAGGTTCATATGCAAAAGTCTTACGAATTGGACTGATCGAAGGTCATGTTTCTCATTGATCTTCCGAAGATAACTTAAACCAAAGGGTGTAATATGTGGACAAGCTCGCACTTGAATTTTGTCCAAAAGTGGCCATTCTAGTTGACTCAATTCATACAGATGAACGTCTGTTAACAACACATTTCCATAACATTCAAGTTTTCCACATGCTCTCGCATATTCAGAACACGCGTCCTATGTGAACGAATAGGAAACAGTCGAAAGTCTTCATTTACTTACTTTGAAGGCTTTGATGGATGGCGATAGAGATGAATCTCGAAATATGTCATTGAGATTGCACGTACGCGATATAGGTGGTAAGATAGGCGTTGGAATGAGATTTTGCCGCTCTTTTTCACCAAGAAAAATATCATCGTCATCGTCGGAAAACAACCGAGCAGATTTTTTAGTTGAAACGGGAGAAGAAAATAAACCGACGTGTTCATTGGGATTGTTTTCCGTCTGTAGGATTTCCAATAGGTCTGATTGAACATGATATGAGTCCTTCGATTTCTCCATTGGGACTCTCATTTTGGATGCATTACGTTCCATTGGTAAACGAGGAGGTAGTTTGGAGACTTTAGTATTTTGTTGTAACTGCTCGATCGGTGGACGAGAGGATGGTTTGGAGACATTAGTGTTTTGTTGTAACTGCTCGATCGGTGGAGGAGGGGGTAGTTGGAAGACATTAGTGTTTTGTTGTAACTGTACGATCGGTGGTTTGAGCTCTTGCAGAAGCGCTTCACTGAGCGGTTCGAATACATCATGCATAGCCTCCTCCGCTTCTTCATCGCGCTTAGAGATTTTTCTATCTTTCGATTTCTTGGATCTCTTCTCTGCCATGTTGACGAAGGAAATGATTTCGTTCGAATAAATAGATCAGTTGAAGGGAAACGACGTTTATTCTTATTATTTCATCGACGTTTGTTGACACACACACACGCATACACAAGAATGGCATGGTGACAATGGTAACGACAATAACATAACAGAACGAAGAATTTTACTCGTCACTCTCCGCTCGTATTATGCATCTTTTTTTTTCTATTTCTTTCTCAATTATACTTTTTTTTACAGAGTCATCATGTCCTTTACAAGGGTGCTGCAATTTGTCTTGTTTTTAAAGCGCATTTTGCTTTACTTTTAATTCAGTATATAAACAGTGTTGCTAGAAAGTTTATATTTTAATGCAGAAACTTTAATTACAGTAAAGCAAAGCAAATTTTGAGATGATTGAAAAGATAATCATATTATTTTCGATCGAGAATATCAATAATTTGCTGAATATATTCATCACTGAGTTTATAGACGAGAGCTTTGTTTTTCAGTGGACAACGGCTCATTTGTGCAACTGACACCAAAGGATAATGAAGTTTCTTAGTTTGAGTTTTCGGATCAAGGTCAATCAATTGTAAATTACGAAAACTCGATGCTCGTAATCGATTCCAACGTTTGTATGCCTTAAATTATGAAATGAAACGAAATTTCATCAGCAATGAAAACGCTTACCACGCAGTATTTGGTATGATCCTCATCTGGAGTCCAGAAAACCACGATATAGATATTGAACCGCGTCAGAGTTATCTCGAAGTCCTAGATGAAAGTAAGAAATCATTTGCATGGATTTACAGTTTGCACTCTCTGTCGTCAGTATATCTAACTTACTCCAACTTTCTCTTCGCCGAAATCACCAATGACCGAATTACAAAAGATAAGATTACGATTGCGAAACCATTGAGGATATCGATTAATTGTACGTACAGTTGTTGCTGCTCCACCTGTGTACAAAGAACAGTTCGATGATATGTAGAAGATTATCTTTTTATACTTGCCGCATTGAGCAACAACATAAATCGAATGGTGTAGATGAAAACTCGAGACAATAGCAACGAGAATTTCAGGACCGTAACGTTTCCAACTTGCTTGATCTAAACTTCGGCCACTTGATTGACCAAAGCCGGGTAAATCAACGAAAATCGTTGAATATCGACCTTGTTGACTCAGTGGATAAGCTAACTTCAACCAACTGTTATCACAGCAATATATCAAATATATTGAAAGACAAGACGCATCTTACTTTGCCCAATTTCGACCGGCACCGAAGCCATGGAGAAAAAGAACAGTTTGTTGATTTTCTCTAATGAAATCCATGAGCAAATTATCGTATTAAATATATCAATCATTAACGAACTTTAGTGCGTAATTGCCATTGATAGAAAATACAAGATGATCAACTTTGATTGAAATTGTTGTGCTACACATATTCTCAAGTAACCATGCACGTTCAGTTTCATCGAACACAACCGTAGAATTGAATAATTTAGTCGCTTGTTCGGACAAAGTATCTTGATCATGTCGTTCGAATAGTACATTTGGCACTGAAACTCATCTCGATAGAAAGAACTTCGATGAGGACGAAAACTTACGCAACGATCGGGAAGAATCAACTGGATCGGAATAAGCGAATTCTTGAAAATCTACTTGAATTGATGTTCGAACACGTTCTGGAGAATATCTACGCTGAGGACTCTTCGATACTCGTCGAATCGCTTTTTTCTTCTTGGTTTTCGATCGCAGAGGACTTGTCATTTCCACACACCAAAAACACTGAATATAACTAAACTGACACTGATAAATCTATTTATCCATCGTTATCTCAAATAACTATAAACATCATGTACTTTTTATTTTCATTTCGTCGCCGATCTCTTATCATACTTGAAGTACCTATGAGTTGTCATTGGTTGTGCAATGGCAATATCAAACATGTAGATCCGACTTTCGTCATCTCTTGTGAAATGACAAAGTCTGTGCATATTATTTATATAAGATGACTATCGATCTCAAATTTCCACATGTATTGCAAATTAACATTTTATGAATCAAAACGAAGAAGTGAGTTTGAGTCATCTTTTTCAAAACGATGTTGACAATACTATAGCAACATTTGTACAACATCGATGTTTAACATTAGTTTCGGGCAAAATGGCAATGATTGCGTAGGGGATTTATCTGATTTCAGTAAAATAGGCCAGTAGAAATACTAACGCACCAGTGAATAGGATAGTAATGAATATATTGAAACCGAGGGTGATTTTTGATAAGATCTTGGCTTTTTTGAGTTTACCATCTTTTGCTAGTTTTGTTGTATATTTCGACATTAATATAGCAACGATACCCAAAATAATAACACCGAAGAAGACATTAATTTGGGACCAGACCATATAATTAACAACTCCGTAACTCCTGTCCTCCAATCCGGTATCATAGATATTTAGCGTTTCGTCCGATGTTGGCTTCTTTTCTTTTGATGGTGGAATTGGTGGCACAATGGTACTACACTTTGGAGACGATTGTGAAACACCTGCTGATGCTGATGCTACTGAAGGATACACAGATGCAACGGATATGGCATCTGAATCGCTTTTACCTCGATCATTAGCATCATTTTCCATTGTTAATATTGTAGCAGTGTTACTAGCGATCATTAGAAATACACTTGACGTTTGTTTCAGCCGGCGATGAAAAGCTTGATTAATATAGTGGAGCTGAGAATTGTTTGAATCGTGTTAAAACTTTGACAGTATGACTTTATGAAATCCATAAATCTCAAATGAGGCCATTTCTTTACATTGAGTAAGCATATAAGTGTATATAAGATAGATCAGTCATATTCGTGTAAGCGGCGTACTTTACGACTTAGACTATGCTAAGAAAAGGCACTTGCGGATGACGTCAATGGAAAAGTATGAAGAAGATTGATTGAATCTATATTGGTCATGTTCTATTGTGAATAGGAAAACGAAGTATAGCATAGATTTTATGCCAATTACATAAGCCGTTTGCACTTTTTAACAAGATTGTACGAGAGCAATAAAGGTACATCACATACCAACGATGCTGAATGTATTTCTGAATTGTACGAGAAACTCAATCAAGTTCGATTATCACATAAAGGACATTCGCGATACAATATCCTCTAAGTTCACATACGAATGGTAAGAATCGATATCACTCTATCCCGTATTGAAATTCATTTCTTAACGCCATCTATCGTAAATAAGTATTGGTTCACATTGGAGTTTATATATTTTACCAGTCGAAGTAATTTCATTTTACATATTAGACAGAACATTGGATTTTTATTCAATCTGCTCGTTGAGTTATTTCGATTGTACGATCTCGATATTTCTTTTAGATCATGGTTCGCCGTAAGAAAAATTCGGATTCATCTGACGAAGATGAACGACCAGTTCGTCGTAAACAAACCAAAAAAACAGAAGATGAAGAAACTTCATCAACAGTTCCTTCTGGAAGTTTACAAATTCGTAATAAAATGGTTCGTCAGCTAATGTACGCCAAATTAAAACGTACGAAATCGAAGACAAAATTGAAAGAACGTAAAGCACGACAGCAATCCGATGCTCCAAGAGAAGAACCGAAAACAATTGAAAAGAAACGTAAACGTGACGAAACATGGGTCGATGAAAACGATCAAGAAACATTAGATGATATATCCAATGATGAATTAAGTAGCTATTTCACTCGGCAAGCTGATGGACGCGAGCCGAAATTATTATTAACCAGTCAAGAAGGTTTTCCAACATCGTTTACAAATAAATTTCTGAAAGAATTAGCAAGAATTTTACCTAATACAACATATTTTCAACGACGGCATCATCCAATCAAACGCATTATTAAGAAAATGAATAAACTCGAGTACGAAACCTCATTCAGTTTCATAAAAAACCCTATATAATGTTGTTTTTCCACTTTTTAGTTATACAGATTTGCTTGTTGTTAATGAAGATCATGGTAAACCATGTACTCTCTACGTATCTCATTTACCCGAAGGTCCAACAATGAAATTTCGGTTAACGAGTGCTCGTCTATCTAAGCAACTTCGGTCCAATCGTGGTAAATCCTGTGCAAAATTAACTGTACGACCTGAAATTATCCTCAACAACTTCAACACTCGTATTGGTATTCGTGTTGGTCGTCTTCTCGCTGCATTATTTCCTCACGATCCACAATACAAAGGTCGTCATCTGATTACCTTTCACAATCAACGCGACTTCATCTTCTTCCGTCATCATATGTATTTATTCAAAAACGAGAAGAAAGTAGCATTACAAGAACTAGGTCCACGATTCACACTCAAACTCAAGTCTATCCAACGTGGAACATTCGATGCAGTCTATGGTGAATACGAATGGATTCACAAGCCCAAACATAAAATGGATACAGAAAGAACGAAATTTTTTCTGTAATTGTTTTGTTATGTTGAGTAAAAATAGAAGAAAGCAAATTGACAAAATTTCCTGTTGGATGACTTTCAATAGTAACAAGCAGATACGTTCGATGTTTATGATCTTCGAACCAACTATAGACGCATTCGGTACGATAAAAGAGATATGAATTATTTAGCAGAGAAGAATAGTTCCAATCAAATACCGGCATAGTTATATTTCTTTTTTTTTGAATCAATCCGTTCTGGTTTGACTAGATTTAGTAATTAGTAAGAAAGAACAGAAAACTCGATGTGAACAAAATTTGGGAGGAAAGTCAGTCTGATTGCGGTCGACGAGTTCCTCGCCATAGTTTTGTTTTCGATTGTGTACGTGACCGAATGAATGGGGCAACAACAAGTAACGTTAATGTTGATACGACTGTTAACAGAAGAAAAATATAAAAGAGAATCTTGTCGACTTTTGTTGCGATGACGCGCCAATCGCTGGTGATTCGTTGATCACGCTCGAATTCTTTTTGTGTGCGTAAAAGACTATGTAGAGTTTCTTGAATTTCATCTTGAATCGGTCCAGCGGACGTTGAACGAGATGTTGAACGACGCCTGATGGAGTTTTCAGCTTGTTGAAATCGAGATAGACGTTTAGGTTTTTGCTTTATTTCATGTTCCTGAGAAGTTAACAGATCGATTTGAATTGAATTGATCTTTAAAAAAAAGATGTTTGTCACTACATTTCTCAGCAAATTCACGCTCTATTGTTATTCTAATTGAAAAGTTTAGTAAGCAAAAAGAAGTATATTTACTAAAACTCTTCGACAACTTGAAAGAAACGCTTGTTTATTCATGTGCATAGAAATGAATTTAATAATTCTTTTTGTTAGGAAGCAATTAATATTTGTCATGTTTTAGGTATGAATAGTATGAACTTGATTTAACTGAATCTTGTATTGCCTCGTTCTTTGATGGAAACTCGAGTCAACACATGTTTTTTTATAGACAGAAGATATAATTACATACATTGTTTATCCATTGAAAGACAAACTTTTCCCTTCTTCTTCTCTCTCTCTCTCTGATGAATGGTTAACTAATCGAAGATGTTTCCCTATAACTATCATTTCTTACTCAATCATTCGAGTATTTGCCGAGCAAACTTTCTCGTATATATTTCGAGGTTAAACAGATTTTCATTGAACTTACATCAGTTGATGCTGTAGTTATTCTTGGTATCGGCTTGGTTTCGCGAGTACAAGTTATTTTGAGTCCATTAGGAGTCATACGGTTATGTGATCGAGGACTTTTATCCATGTCATTGATACTTTTCTTCCGTTCGACAGATTCTTTTTCAGGACATGGAAATTTAAATCGTTTGGATTTCGTCACTGTTCGACAAATATTCACTAAAGATAAACCCAATAATTGTTGTAACCAAAATGGTATTTCATTCTTTTTTGGACCACGATAATGCAAATTAAGAACAAGTACAGTCATCATGACTGAAACACTTGTCATTGACATAACTGTCGTTAGATATAAACCTTGAATAAACATACAAAACTCGATCGAATTCAAGAGGAAATGAAAGTTTGACTTTACCAATTAGTGGAATATATTCACTCGTTTCAGGCATACTTTCAGCGATAGCTAACATAAAAACACTAAATGCAAGTAACACAGTGATTCCCAAGNAGTGCAATTTCTACAACGCACAAGCGCGTAACAAAAGAAATCGTCCGTAATAACGATGATACACGAGAAGAAGAAAATCCAAGAGAGAAAGAGAGATGGCACCGGTCCCTTATTTCTATTCGATATCTAGACATATATCTATATGTCTAAGACATCGAGAGAGAAAGGGGGGAAGGAGAGAAGCAAAGAAAGGAGAACCTCTCAGATTAAGTTATGCGAACCGTTGATTATGTATATGTACAGAAAACTCAAGCATTTTACCAGTCTTTCTTCGTTTTTTTTTGCTTTTCTTTTTCTTTTCTGATAAGATTTGTTTTGAGTACAAAAAACTACATGATGATGATTATTAGATGATGAAGAAGAAGGAGAAGAAGAACTAGAAGAACAGCAACTTGACGACAAAAGAAAAATATGGAAATAATTAACAAGCAAGAAAATACAGTCATCTGAACTTGTTCTGTCAGTTCGATTTCTCCATTCGATGTTTTTCTTGAAGATTATATGTTGATTCCTACAGATGACTACAGATAAACATCACTAGTTGAGAAAACTGACGAGCTTAATCGACAACATACAAAGACGAATGTCTTTTTTCATCTTCGTTGTTAGATGTCTTTCTTTCTGAGATGTTTTTCAGTATGATACGATATATTATCTTCTTTTCTGTATCATTCTGTCAGACTTTTTCTCTTTTAAAGATCTCATCGATCATTGTAAATTAGTCCGAAGTCAAATCATCAAAACAGCAACTATCAGTTGCGAATAGTACTATTAGTTGTCATAGTATATATGATTTCTTCTGATTTTCTTTCGAACTAAAAGAAAATAGCAATGATAAGCGATTATATACGCATATCCATCCGTCTGTTGAGAGGCAGTTGTGTTGAAAGAAATTGTGCTGGTCAAAAAATACTAGATGAAACACTACTGATGGAAACGGTCAACGGATGGCAAGAGAAAGAAATCTTGATGACATGACTGATTTGAGATATGACAGAAAACAAGATGAAAATAAAGAGACAGAGAGAGAGAGAGAAGAAAAAACGAGAAAGATATGACAGAGGAGGAAAAAACAAACAAATAACAACGGCAGTTATTCGTGCAAAGAGGTTAGAAAGAACAGATTATCAAGCTGATCGTTGTCGATATATCTTTGTCTGGTCGACGACGATGCCAACGACAACGTCTGATCAATCAGAATCGATGGGAAAAATAAACAAGGCATATGTTTGTAGACGAGCCGATGTTGTCGACACATTATGAAATTACTCGACGAAACATTGGTCGACCACCGGCTATCAACAAAATCCATAAAGAGCGATTTTCCGTTCAATCAAGCATGTAGATTCTTCATCTATGTTTTGTTTTTCTTCTGTTTACTCCAACAGCCATGAGTTGATATTGGGCCTTGGATAAACGCTTTCCACAGGAGAGGTAAACGACCAGCATCGAACCTTTTGTTGCATCATCATCAAGTCAAGACGACAACGGCAACGTTGACAACAATCGATAGCGAAGAGACAAATGAGAGAGATGCAACATCATCGACTCGAAGAATAAACGATGACGATTGATGATAATCTTTCACACATTTACGCATCCTTTCCTTTCTATACTTCTTACTTTCGCGTTCAAACTAAGCAGATGAGAAAAAAACGAGAGAGAAAAAGACCTTTGACAAGACGTAAACGTCCGTATCGGACATATTGACTTCCCTCTGTATCTTCGAACTAAACACATTCGGCTTCTTTTCTCATCGATACGATGCACAAGAAAGAAAAGTTAAACTTACATTTGATTAAATTGACTACGTCAACATGAGTACAATGTGTAACGCGCGTGCCGTTGACCTGAAAAATAAAAATCAAACATAATTATGCAAGACTTTCATCATCGGACTGTTTCAACCACTTGACAAGTATTTCTACTCAAGAGTTTCTATTACAAAAAAAAAAGAACGCGAAATTTCGGTACTTTTTGGTCTTATTTAATTTCCATACCAAATTTAAATTAAATATCTCTTCTTTCAACTTAAGATAGTATGTTAATTATCAACAAAGTGATAACTCTGTCTTTGATCGATAAAGCATATAAAAAAAACGAAAGATAATTCAACATTCAATCATATCCGATTGATATGTTCGTTCGTTGTTCGACACGTCGAGTATAACTTTGATATATGACCTCGAAAATTACTATTGTTTGCATACTAGATTATCATTTCTCTAAGATTCAAGTGTCGTCATTGATAAGAAAGATCGTCATTGAACGAAAAAGATGTGTCAGTGATATTTAATAATCATTACAATTGGATTTTCTATGTCAATAGACTAAAGCTCGATCTTTTATATAATAAAACACTTGTCTTCGTTTATCACTGAGTGCATCACTTGAAAGTCACCGAAGTGATGCGAAATACGACTTGAACACTTCAATATCAAGACATATTGACCCAATATTGTCTTCGTTTCTCAAATCGAGTCCGATTCGAATGAGAAATAATCAATCAAATTCAATGACGTAATCAAACAATAGATAACAGGTGTGCAATTTATTCCATATGTAACAGGTGTACAAATGATATCGTTTTGATGTTCAATCATCAAGGCTAAACTAAAGAAGAACGCGGACACGAGCATTCGAGAGTATTGTTATGCATTTCATATACGCAAAACGATTAACATTTTTTTTATATCAAGGCATACCATTCATATATTTTTTACAATTCGATCAAAATACGAAAGAACGAACAAATACAACGCGTATATTCTACCATAGAATTTATTAGTGACAATCGTTTTCGTATTTCAAACCACAAAAGCTCACAGAGAGATAAGAACAACAGACTACTCTTTATTATGATGATGATTGTGATGGTGGTTAAGTTACTTTTGATATTCACGATGATAGAATATATGTGATGCAATGATAGATATAATAAATCAATGGAAGCCAACCATAAAATGTCGGTGTTGGCACTAGTAGGTGCGATAATAGTTTATTGAAAGTGAAGAATAGAGTAGAAATAAAGAAGAAGAAATGAAAAGGAGAGGTGCTAGGTGAAGAGAATAGTAGGCCGAATAAAAAAAAACGAAAAGAATTCATTGAAAAAAAAAAGAATCTTTAGTGAGAATATAAAGCGAAACATCAGCCACTTAACTTTGCCTCATATATTTATGAAAGACTAAGCAAACGAATAGAAAAAAGACAAGTACGAGTTCATTCATTTTGAATATCTCGATCTTGTTCGTCTATTTCTAGAGGGAAGAGATCAAATCGATTCAATAGATACTTAACACATCATAAACAACCCAATTCAACGATACATTCAGTCTTTTTTATCGAAGTAAGCATTAACATTACAAATATTTGTTGTCGAACATGATTCTATTCATATCATAACCATCAATCATTAACAATGAAAATAATGACAGGTGAACCTGTTCGAACGAGTTCAAAAACGACTCATGCACCTCCACCTCCAATCCAATATTCAACATTGAATGTCTTACAAGCAAATATTCCGCTTAATCCTCCATTAACAAAGTCAATTCTCAAACGTCCACCACCAGTGATTAGAGATTTACGCGAAATGAATTTATTCAATGAATTATACCCTTTTCATCATGGACAAGCCCAAGTTCAAGAAACAGTTGAAATCATTCCACAACCCGTCTCATATGAACGCTATTTCTATTCTTATATAGATGATCATACCGATCTACGTTCACGCGAGTACATTAAATTAGACCAAGGTGTTTATGTTCGTTCAGATAATGCAGGTCAATTCTGTACAAATGAACACCTGACAACCTTATTTCATAATATCGAATATGATAATCGATTGAAATTAGACTTCTATTCGTCGACACTCTACATCTTTCCTAAGAAGCGAAATGAAAAGTTCATTTCCGAGATTCGCTACATTCCTGAACACATAACCATCCGATACAAGACAACATTGGATTTACTCTCGTCGACTGAACCTTATTACGAAAATACTCAAGATTTCTATCAAATATCCAAAGACATTTTCTACCGAATTTAACATTATCTTCTTTTTGTAAATAAATCTTCTGAAGATTAGATAGCACCAAATAAATGTCTTACCTTAATTATCTGATCATTTATATTGACTCCCGCTCGGTGAGCAGCACCACCTTCACGTACACTTAATACATAAACAGGATTATCACCAGATACTGTTAAACCATATCCAAAACGATCTCGTTGAATAATCACATTTTTCTGTTTGAGACCTAAATCATACATGAGAGTAGGTCGATTTGTCAATTCAACCAATGAGAAATGCACCATACCCGTTGGTAAATCAGAATCAGCAATATACGATGATATACTAAGCATGAAAAAGAGAAGAAAGTTTGAAAAAGAGGCGTTTTCTCGATAGATTCATTACCGTTCTTGTTCCATCTGGATATCAATCACCAGAAAAATAATGTTGATTCATCTAAAATTCGAGTTTAATAATAAACAGGCGATATCTCCATAACTTGATTGTTATTTCAAGAAGCAGATAGAATAAATAAACATAGAAAAACAAAAGAAAAAAGCTTTTGATACGCAAGAATATGCTTGGTATATCAAATGATGATGAAGAACTGCCAAGGCATCGTCTCACTATGCATTTCGTGTTTCTCTTCTTCACCTAACAAAGCATTTCTATTGGTTATTGACAACCATTTCATACTTTAATTACATCGGTCAATCCTTTGTAAATATTACAATCATATTAAGAATATTTATTGCAAGAGAAAAATCAAAGTTTTTACTAAATTCAAATCAACAATTTCCTTTTTGTCGCTATATATGGTCAGATAATCGAAAGCAGCGCCCTCTACATAAAAGATTTCGATCTCTCCCTAATCTTATTTATGATCAAAAACGAAGTCCAATTTGATAAATATCGAACCTCTCGACTTTCCGCTCACATCGAAGCGTATAACTAATTCTCATAAAGGTTCGTCTTAGTCGACCACACATGTTATGGCTGATAGAAAATGGATCGAACTGTTGTATGTTGGTATGCATGTAATGTTTGCTGATCAGGTTAAAAAACGAAAGAAAATATCGAAAAAAGGTGAATGGAGTAGTTAATTAAAACTGTCGCATTGTTTGCACGAGTAATTGATAGATTAATGCAAGTCAAGTATTTCAACTGATGTGACCGTTTACTCCTTCCCTTGAAAAGCGCAACAACAGGTAAAAACCGCATGTAACTTGTGTCGTTTCTGCTCTTTGCAAAATAAGATAAAATCTTCTGAGATATTTGTCTTATCTTTTCTTTTGTTTTCTTATTTGCTTGTAATTTCGCACAACTGACGAATTTTATCGTACACGTTTACGCATTTTCATTCATATGTGCTCAATTCAGAAGAAGAAGATTTCAATATTATCGAATATATTCAAATTGAAATCCTACCGAGTCGGTTTTTTTTTCGTACGAATAACGATGCCACATCGCCACAAAAGAAAACATAGACATACTTGATTCCGCTAACGAATTTTTCGAGAGAGAGCACGAGAGAGAAGGAGAAAAAAAGAGAAATAACATACACAAAAAGCGACGAAGAAAAAAAACTCGAATTTCAATTTTTTTTGCTTCATGTCTTTCTTAAATGTGTTATAAAAAACTAGTTTGTCCAAACGACAGTTTTTTACTGCAAACTACATAAATAAATACAAGCTTATCTTGATTACACAATCGACAACCTTCAGTCTTATCCAACAAGATGTTTTAGAATTTTCTTTTTCCTTTACAGATGATCCAAAACAATTCAGAGGAAACCAATGTAATCCATAGTTCGTCAAAATTAAATCATCAAACTACTATAACTATCGATTAATTATGTCGACAACCACGTTTCATCAGGTAATACCACTCGAAATCAATCATTCGATCATTTAGTTATCAATTTCATTAGACTCGTGTACCGAAAGTCCATATCCCATCGGACACGACTTATTCAGCGCCAAGTTCACGTTCCAATTCACGTTATAAAAGTACATTACAAGTTGTCACATCAGCTCGTGATCATTCATCATCGAATACCTATCGCCGTCGACGTCCCGAATCGGAATTAATTAATCCTGCTACATCATCTTACAATATGATTACAAATCATCGCTCGCAGATGCCTCAACAACTTTCATCTCTTTCCTATCAACCCTCATATACACTGCCGTTATCATCCCGTTCTACATCATCGTTATCCAATCGTCGATCAACAGTAACTGATGCAATACCATCATCGACTTCCACATATTCATCCCACATAACTTATAATAATAATCGTTCAGTCAATTCAACGTCAACGAGTCAACCTGACGATGTACAGCGTGTTGGTTCGTCTCAAAGTAAACGTTATTCAATAGATTCAACGAATGCATCAATCAAATCTTCGACTAATTCCACAAAAATCTCCAATCATTTAGTGATTATTCCCAAATCGAAGTCTAATCAATCACTCGATCAAAATCATCACCATTCGTCATGTCCTGTTTCTTATCAGAATCAAATCAGTCTTGGCACAGTTACCATCTTATCCGATTCAAGTTCCGATAATACCATCCTTCATCATCTTCCTGATCATAATGAAACGACGGATAAATCTCAACAATCGCTTCATGACGAGCGTCTGCACCGTTCACCACGAAAACCTATCAATACTCACGTACTTGGATCTCGATTAAATTCCACCTCCTCAATCGATGAAACGAAGAAAGGCCCAACACCGTCGTTGCGTTATACCATCGAACCGATTGAAATCAATGATGATTTGAACGATGAAAATCAGCACGATTCCAAACAAAAAGCAGTCCGCGAGGAGAAAAAACGAAAAGCCAACGAAAACGAACAAGTTCTCATCAATGTTGATGAATACGCATCCGAAATTCTAATGTATCTCAAAGAACGCGAAGTCAGCATACAATTTTTCTTTTTCAATCATCATTTCGAATTCATTCTATTTCAGCACACATCACGACCGAAAGCAAATTACATGCGTAAACAAACGGAGTTAACCTGGGATATGCGTGCGATCTTAATCGATTGGTTATCGGAAGTCGCCGACGAGTATAAACTCTACTCAGAAACACTTCATTTAGCAGTTAATTTTATTGACCGATTTCTTTCGAGAATGTCAGTAACAAAGTCGAAATTTCAATTGATTGGCACAACAGCGCTTTATTTAGCCGCGTAAGTAGCAATGGCGTAGATCTTTTGTTCGAAAAGTAAATACGATCGAACTTTTTTGTTTATTTTTGTTTTAGAAAATGTGAAGAAGTTTATCCGCCGAACGCAGCCGAATTCGCTTATGTGACCGATAATGCATATACGAAAAAACAGGTTTTAAAAATCGAAGATCTCTTATTACAAACACTCCATTTTGAAGTATCAACTGTATCAACACACACATTTTTATTACATTATCTCAAATTAGCCGAAGTAGATGAAGTTACTGAAGATTTGGCAAGGGTAAGAAAAGAAAAGAAAGAAACCTAAGCGTTTTTTGCTTTCAATTCATACTCAAAGACAGTTCATTATCGAAGATTCCATTGACATCGAGTTGTTTCCGAGGGAAGTTCATTCTTGTCACTTTTCCCGTTGAACAATGAGTTTTATATTGCACTCTATTGTAACCCCGTGATGTTGGCCTTCACTTAGTTTTCTTCTGTTTTTGTTAGACTAGTTAAATGACAAAATATGTACTCACAAAGGATCATACTTTACTTTTTGATAGCAATGTAGGCATCATTGAGAAAAGCTCAGTGTGTATCACAATGGGTGGGTAAAACTTTTAATTTAACTGCAATTCTCACTCAGAATAAGAATGAATCTTCAAGTAAGCTGATTTACACATTGTCAATAAGGTCATAATTCAGGACACGACATAGTTGTCTGTTTTCTTTGCATGTGAATGTATCCGAACGCTGAATTTGTGAGTCTCAATCGACGTCATTATTTTGTGCTATGAGCTCGTTGTACATGATATACGCTGAACTGAAAAGATTAATCACGCAGATTATTTCTTTGATCGTCATCGATGTTGAAAATCTATTTTAATTCCTTATACACGTGATATATTTATACTTTCGTGAATGATGTCTAGTATATTTGTCTGATATTATCAAATTGACGAAGAAGGATAGAATTTTTCAGACTGCAAATGAAGATTTTTTTTCGAAGACAAGTTCACCTTTTGTTTAGTACATTGCTGAATTAACTCTTCTCGATCCTGAATGTCTTCAATATTTATCCAGTTTACAAGCAGCTGCTGTCCTTTGTCTTGCTCTTCACATGTGTCAAAAACCTCCCTGGGTAAATTCGTCTCCGGCTATTTTTCATTCATTAATCAATCTGATTGTGTTTTAGTCGAGTAAATTAAAACGAACCACTGGTTATACAATCCAATCGTTCTATTCGATCATGGAAAAGATCTTCTGGCTGGTTGCAAAAGCACATGTACATGATAAATGGGCAATAACAAGAAAATATCGTCATGTCAAACATCATAGTGTTGCATTAATTGAATTACCATCCACTTTACCGTATCTCGATATGGATAATGATTGTAATTCGATAAAATGAATCCATAAACTTGCCTCGAAGTTCTTGTTTGCTTTGATTTCGTCCATATTTTTTCTTCTACTAATGTGTGTCAATTCTTTTGACAATGATTATTTTCTTTTCTTTCGCTTCATTGAAGATGTGTTTATTCTTAGAATAACACATTTCGATTAATCATTCGGAGAAAAACATGTTTCACTGTACTATGAAGAACTCCAAATCGTTATCATCAGCTGCGTCGCTTCTAAGATGTCTTTGTATTAATAGGCAATTTTTCTCTCACACCCTCATTTATCTTCTTTTCATAGCTTTTTTTTTATCCTACAAATATATTTAAAGGTCAAAATAGTTGTTTATTTTCTGTCGTTTATATAGAGTAGATTGTTGAATACGCCTTTTTTTCTCGTTAAAATCTTCGTCTAGTTTGACCTGTGAACTGAAGAATAAATAGAACGCGTCGATGTGTGCGTGTGTGTCTCTCTACATGTCTGTCTTAATCGATTTCTAATGATTATGAGGTAAGCGATTAGTTCGACTTGTTTTCGTGACAGAATATCAGAAAAGCGATTTAGCATCATCATTTCATGTTCTATTAGATTAGAATACGTTTCTTTCCTGAGCTAGAATCCTGTTTTAGTATGGATCCATCATGAGAATCAACATGAAAACCAAGCTTAGTTAACTGGCGGATGTTTCGAACAGAGAAATTTAATTTATTTTCCATTAGTTTTTCTGGTACTTAATGTCCTATTCTGATGACTCATGAGAATCTGTTGTTGCCGTAAAGTCCGACGTAAACTGGCTTGTTCGCGTAGTTTACCAGACCTTGTTGAACCACATATACGTATGGAACTGTTCGGCGACGCTGATGTTAGACCAACGGAGTCGTATTCATTGAAATTTCCATATTGTTTGTCGGAATTCAATCCGCGTGATACCGAATTGTCATTGTCGGCACGTAATGATGATGATGATTTGAAAGAAAAGAGACGTTTTAACGCACGACGAAAATTTCCTCCAAATAATAAATAAATGACGATATTAATAGAGTAGCTTAAGTATGACATAAAGTGAAAAATAACGTCGTAGAAAGCAGAATGAGTTTCAGTCGGCTGAGAACTTGATCTTGAATGATGATATAAAAACATGAAACGAAGATAGTATGATGGGAAATTCAATGAAAGACATGTGAATGATATAGCTAAGAGCATTTTTGTTAAACGGAGTTCAGTTAAGACATGTCGATGTGCTGATTCATTACGTCGTATGGTGGGATTTTGTTTCGTTCGAATACTTGACGTTGATATTGGTGTCTGTGGAATTTCGCTCGAGAACATTTTGTGGATATTTGACGGCGAAGATTCCGAATTTGTAAACGTTCGGTACAAACACAATGCAGATTGAGTTGCTGTCGTACGGAACGGACGTATAATACGTGGTGAATGGTAGAGAATAGGGCTAATTTGTGGAAGAGTCGGAGTCGATGTTGATGCGGCAAGCGATTGTTTACATGAAGCCGGCTTTGTCGTCCAATTTGATGTACGGCGACACTGATATCGTGACCCATTGGCAAAAACATGTTGACGAAATGTCTTCGAACAAAATAACTTATTGATGATAAGTATATTTAATATAGAGACGAGAATAAATGGTAAAAACATTGTCATGACAGTATCGATCAGGTTAACATTGGTTAAATAACGTTCATAGCCATCTTTCTCTCGGCATTGTCCTAGTTTGTCGACTTCCGAAACGAAAAATGCTGGATGAATGTAACATATAAATGCTGGTATAATTATAATAAAAATCACCGTACGAGAAACATTTGGAGTACACTGTGACATATGTTTTAATGGAAAATTTACAGCGAAAAAGCGTTCTGCTGTGAAGCCAAGCACCATCCATATGTGTACAAATGAAGCAACGAACGAAATATATGTTTGTAGATAACAGATGAAATTCAACCTTTGGTATAGATCGGTTATGAAAGAAGTATGAATCATTCCGGGCAGCAGATCAAGAAGAAAGAAAACGTCGATCAATGCCAATGTGAATAAATATGCAGATGAACGAATACGTCTACGAGATTGTTATTGATATTTATGAGAAAAGTATTTTTCATTGAATTTTACCTGAGAGATTTCGTTAGGAAAACAATAGCACAGAGGATGTTTCCACAAACACCAAGTATAACTAATGATGCGACGTAAATGAGATGAGCATATCGCATGAATACATTTTTGGCAATCGGAGCTGCTGGTAAAGTGGATTGATTTGTCAGTAAAGACAGTGTTGATGATGAAAGATTATATTGATTCATCGTTTTCTTTTATCCATAATAGTGATGGATTACTAAATGCATGTTGAATGACTTTTTTTGAATATTATTACTAATTGTATTCTTCTGTAAAGAGTTGACTAGATGGACATACTCGTGCTGCGATTTCTAGAAAGTAAACAAGAAAAAAAAAGGAATTAAGTTTGTCAAGAGAAGAGTTATGATATTCTCCATCGAAATCTTTTGCCAAATACGTCACTAATATCTTGCTTCTTTCCTCCTTCTGTACTTTTTCATGAAAGACGATTAGATTTTCTTTCTCCTTATAGTTGTCATTCTCGTCTTTCCTTTCTTTATTTTCTCGGCTTCTCCCCTTCCTACTTTAGACATGAATATCTTTCAACGACAACTATCAATAGTGGGCGTAGCTTGAAAAGAAAGAGCGTGAGTAAAAGGTATCACTCGAAACCCTGAAGCAAATCACGAAAAGCTCGCACTTTACTCTGAATTTTGGTTTTAAACGAAAGATTTCTTCTAGATGATTGTGAGAATGTACTGCATGATACTATCAGTCCTGAGATATGACCATGCTTGATGGAACTAAGAGAGTTTCACTAATCAAGATTCATTCATCCATCTTATGTTGTCAGAGTGATAATCTCCTGCTGTCGTCGACTACAAAACCCCATTGGAAAAGTTCATATCTGAAACACATTCGACACCCATCAAGAAACAGGTATTCTAATAACTCTGTGTGCTCGGTTCTTTTTTTCTTCTTTAAAAGCCGTGTATTTGTTTCTATTCGACAGATTAATATGCACACGACGCTCTCTGTTGTTTTTTGTTCGTAAGATTGTGAAAAGAAAACAAAAGGACTAATTAGAATTTAGTTGACGGTTAGATACCATCAGTAATGATCTAGAAAAGAGAGAACATCGGCTTTTTCGGAATAAAAAAAAACGCTCGAGGTGATTGAAAGGTCACGAACGAGAAAGATGCGCAAGGACGTTCATTCATATTGAATGTGTTCCAGGCAATGACTTGAGCTTTTTCACTTTAATTATTTAGATGTCATTCTCCAAGATATTGTGCCAAATGATCGAAAGTGATGGTATCGAAGAGAAAAATCTCAAAAAAAAAGGAAACTTTCAACAAAAAATTTCGTATGATTCGAAATGCCCAATTTTCATGAGGTAAATATGAGATTTTCTACCATCTTTAGGAGGGTGTGTGAAAGGTCAATGCGGACGCTAGTGAGCTAGACTGAGACTGTTAGTAAAGAAGTGAGTTAGAACTATACGAACTTTTGACATCATTTTAGTTTGGATCTTAGATTCCATAGAATAAATTTTTCGATCTGTTGATATTTGGTATTATTATTTTCGACATTCACTATTTTCGGTAATCGTAGATTCGAGATGATTTTTTCGATATTTTGACAACATTTCTTTTTCCGACAGTATGATTAAATATTCACAAATGAAATCCTATATTCTTATACAAATACTTTGTTGACAGACACATCATCATACGTCTTGAGATTATCTTTTCAAATTTTGTTTGTCATTAGTGCGTGATAGTAAAATAGACTGCAAGGGCACAAATAGAGGTTTATTACATATATCCTATTATGATAAGACCAATTAAACGAAAAGAAAAACAAGCGGAGATTTGAAACCATGCCAATACAATCTTGTTTATTAGTTATTAATTTTGAACATACTGCGACGACTATATAAAATGTGAATTTGTCTAAAATCTGCACTCTGCTTCTCAGGTGACACGATGTCTTCGAGTATTGTTTTTCCAACGAATATCGATGGATCCATTTGCTTCCTGTCGACTAATTTATTTTCTAATGGATTTCTTTTCGGACAATTCGTTTCTATATACAAGAACAAGAATGCAAAATGAGATCATGCAAATGATATGAGAAAATGAACGAATGATATGGTGCAATTTGTATAATTAACCTAGAAACTATTCGAGAAGAAGTGAAAAACCTATTTCCGTAATTGCATCGAGTGCGGTAGCAATAGAATATTCTCTCCCATCCGGGATAATTTGGATTTTATGATAAATCATAGTTTGATTTGCAGATCATCGACGCTTTCATAGCGTCACGATATGTATTTTGATATTCCTAATTCTGATTATAGTAGTCCGTTTTCTATAATGAAATCGGTTTGTAGTTACAAAAACAAATTCAGAATTGTCAAAAATTATCTTATGCACGAAGCAACTAACAATCGAATCCATTAACGGATTATTACTTGAGCTAATGGCGATATTTTTCATCTGTTCATGGTATTTGACGTTGCTACTAAACATAGATTTCGATGGAAATGGTTGAAGGCAATCATATCCCTGTTCATCATTACAATAATAGCATTCAAATGCATGAACTTTGTTACTTTGACAGCAAACTAGAAAGGGTAATTGGAGAGGGATTATACGGAACTTAATATAGTCATAAATTTATCATTAGTTGACATTTGACCTGCTTAATTCATGTCACCATTGGGTAATAAGTTCATCAAGGTGTGAGGTATACTATTGTACCTGTGAACAATAAGTACTATTTACCAAATCACATTCGTCATTTCTGTTTTAATTAAGTGCATCAATGGCGTATCAAATCGTTTTCAATGTGGCAGTAATTTAAAGTCAGTGAACCTTCGTTGGTAACCTGGTACATTTCCTTGTAATTAGAGATAACTGACGAATTCGGAAGTGAAAAAATTTCTACTATGCATCTGTAACCTGAATTCTTGTTAGTCATGTTGTGCACAAGAAACCAATTTCACTTGAAAGAAATCTTCGTATTTTTCTACTTCGACTCAAACACTAACGCTAACTTAGACAGCTTAAATAGACAAATCCTGGTTATAAGTATCTAACTAGGATAAAAAGAAACGCTTCTCGATCATAGGAACATTTAACAGAAAGAAATGGAATAAATGGAACTATTATCATCTGATGGAAGAACGATGCTCTATTATTTACAGATCGTTGATTTGAAGTAAAAAAATACTTGCTTGCTTTTGTCTATATGCATATTTTGTTCTTTGATGAATAAACAAGTTCCACTGTCTGAGATATACAATATACAGAACACAATAGAGTCAACGTTTGTTGTGAAATTCATATTGCTTATAAGAAATGCTCGAGCAGTACTTAGTTGAAACGGAGAAATTGATCGATCGTAGGTAAACTTATTTTCTAGAATAAACAACGCTTTTCCGAATATTCAATGAATTGTTCGATTAAACACAAACCAGCATAGAATTTCTTTTAAAAAAACTTAAGTAATTGTCATTATGACTATGATCGATACGCAAAAATGAAGAAAAACAAACGGATACATCTTGTCTTTTGCAATTCAAAAGTTGAATGTTATCGTATAGCGTTACAAAACAACATTCTTTGACAATAATGGTTTTATTATCTTCTAAATGAATAACATTCCAAGAGTAATAGATAGTCATCATTCATCGTAGTTGTCAATACAAACCGCATCATCATTAGAATCCAATCGTCTACCAAGTGATGAATAATCTTTTGCAATTTTTCGGCAATACACAAAATTATGTTAAAATTAGTTAGCACTATGTCAAAAGAAGACATTCTTTTGGATTAGTAAATGAACAAATATATATATTAAGAAGAGTTTGATGTAGGAAAAAGTAACACATTAGACGTTCATGTGGTTTAACTGAAGAAAAATAATATCGAGCCAGTGGAATGAAATGTAATCATTTGAGAATGTTGTCAAATATATATTTGATAAGAGATTGCACGTTCAATGAATCATCTTTCTCTGTAATGTGTTGTGAGTATTGTTCGGATATAATATTTGACTTTTGTACTTTCTATTACAACCGATTTACGACGTTCTGATGCAAAAAATAGACATTCCAGATTTACAGAATGACATTCAATAAAGATAAAATGTTATTACATACATGACAATTCATAAGAAGCACATATTAACTTTTCAATGGCACAGAACTTGATGTTCGCAAGCGTACCCGTTCTGCTGTCTTACAGACAGAAGAAAATTAATAAATATATGAACTATTCAGCTATAGGTACTCATAGACTTCATATAATTGTGCTCTAGTAAGTCTGAGATCCTTGACCTACTAATAAAACGAAGAGACTTTGAAAGAAATACTTCTTAACAGAAAACAAACTTAAACATAAGGATCTCGAGTCTTGGGAAAGTGTGTGTGTGTGTGTGTCTCATATGATAGAAATGTTTGATGATGAGATTCAACATCCGAGATTCCAACAGCAGCACTTATGTATACAATGTTTTCGTTCGGTTGAAAGAATAATAATAATAAACAATAGAAAATGTGAACTGGGTAATTTAAGATTAAGACTGTCTATGGTTTGAAAGTAAACGAAGAAAGGCGACGTCCTGTTGTTGTTATGATTGTAACCATCGAAATTTATCAATGATGAAGCAGAAGAATAACATTCAATTTGTTATTCAATTCAATTGAATTTTTCTTTAACGATCAAATCATCGAAAATATTGACCTAAAATGCTTGCGTGCTTGTTATTCCACGTGTGTATTTGGATAATATTTATTTGCCATTAAACAACTTCTTTTTTTCATTTTTCTTCCAAAACACAATTTGAAGTAATCATAACTTTTCTTCTCGTTCGATAACAGTTTTGAACATGGGAAATAAGAATTCGCGTGTTGCACCAACGAAAACTCTTCATATCTTCGATAATCAAACTCGAGCACGTTATCGAAATCAACGGGAATCCAACAATCTCCGATCGACAATGCGCAAACTTCATACTCAACATCACGATGAACTTTCACGAATAACTTTCGATCAACAAGATGTGAAAACGAAATTACATGAACTAAATTACGATAAAGTTCAACGAGAACTCTTCAAAAATATTGATAAAGGTATGTTAAGTGCCTGAAGCATCTGTATTTTTTTTAATTCAAAGAAAAAGCATAGTTCGATGATTTATACTTGACATCTATTTAATCATTTTGGAGTACGCTTTAGGAAATTCTTTATCCTATTTGCCTCGCGAAAATAGATACGAACATATTTCAAACTAATTTGCAAGAAAATGGATTGTTTGTTTTCTGAATTATTTACACTCACCAATTCACAATCACAGATGAAAGGTTTCTGTTTTCACAGATAAAAATACTTTCGATTTAGAACGTCCGAAAAGTCGATTATCAACGTTCAATCTTCTTGCTATTGATGAAAACCCACCAGAAACGTCCAGTCTTCTTCTGCATAATCTCTACGACTCGCGACGTCGAGAGAATAGGGAAACATCTCCCAAAAAGCCGAAGCGAAATAAACCACCGACTGCTTATGAAGCATTTCAATTACAATATGCGTCGAAAGTTGATCTGAAAGATCGTCGAGTGAGTCAAACAGAAGCGGCACTCGTCTCCAGTTCTCGAGCGCTACAACGAGAAACTGAACAAATGAAGAAAGCAATCAAAACTGCGGTTGCCAAAGCAGCACGAGATTCGAATATGTATGCTCGTCGTGATACGATTCTCTATTGAATCGAGACAACGTTTAATTCCTACGAAATAGTTCATCGAAATCTGTTTGTTTATTATTATTATTATTCAACAACAAAAAAAAAAACTCGATCGTTCTCTCCAATCAGATATCTATGTAAATGTGTGTGTTTTATTATGCTTTTTTGTTTTGTTTGCTTTTTAAAAAAACGAGAACAAAAAAAAAAGAAGATCATGGGATCAACGTAATATACAAAAACGCACACTCATTCAATGTTTGACCGAGAAGCAACAGTAGTAAGAGTAACAGTACAGAGTATTCCAAGAAAAAAAAACGAAAAGAAAACACGAGAAGTAATAGTAAATAATGATGACATATACAATATGTGAATAAAGATCAGAATAGAAAAGGGCAAGAATAAGTAGTAGAGTAGAATAAGAGCGAAAAAAAAGTAAATCAATATTCATGTTTTGTTCTTAGAAACACACACACACGACTAGGTAAAGATATGTTTTTTCGATATAGATATAATTGGTATTAATGTTTTCGACTAGTAAGCTCACGTACGTCGTGATCAGCCTTTTGTCTTAGATTAAAACACAACGACCACTACGTTTCTTCTTTCGTGCTAATGCAGCGCGGGCTGCATGCTCAAAGACTTCACGAACGCCTAATAATAAAGAAGTAGAACATAGAACAAAGCAAATGGAAGGTCCTTTACCTTCTTTGGTCTTTGCTGAACATTCGAGATAACCAACTGCACCAATCTTTTCAGCCATATTTCGACCTTCTTCGCTGCGCACAGGTTCCTGTTTCATTTTCATCAATTCTTTCTTTGTTGCTTCGTCATTACGTAGATCCTTCTTATTTCCAACAAGAACAATTGGGACATTCGGACAGAAATGTTTCACTTCGGGTGTCCATTTCTACAAAATCAACAATTCTTTGTAAGACCAAACATTTCGTGTCATCTTACCTCGGGAATGTTCTCGAGACTGTCCGGACTATCGATAGCAAAGCACATCAAAATAACATCTGTGTCCGGATATGACAACGGCCGTAAACGATCATAATCTTCTTGTCCAGCCGTATCCCATAACGCTAGTTCCACTTGTTTTCCATCTACTTCAATATCAGATACATAATTTTCGAAGACAGTTGGAACATAAACTTCTGGGAATTGATCTTTACTAAAGACAATTAACAAACAAGTTTTACCTAAAAGTAAACAAAAGAAGAACAATGATCAAGATTCAATCGAACAAGAAACACGAAATCGAGTAACTTACCACAAGCTCCATCACCAACAATAACTAGTTTCTTTCTTAGAGCGGCCATTTAGAAGGAAAAAAAAGGCAATGAATTCGATTGTATCTAAAAGAAACGATACCAATAGATCAAGACAAGTTTGTGTCTATATGCGTATATGTGCTGGCAGAAGAAAACAAAAACAACAGAGCATATTATGAGAACTGTACAGATACCATTACGATTGACTCTCCATCTTTGTCATGATGTTTAGATATGATTCATTGTTGCCAACAATGTTTGAGAAGATTTTGGAAAATTTCAGGTAAATTTGACGAGAAATTCAAGAATAAAAAGACTATTTTTTAAGTAAATTTTATTGTTTTCATCAGAATTCATAGATGTCGCTAAACCTCCAATGCTGAGTTCGTTTCCTTTCTCCACACACTCATTAATTCATGAATATTAATGATCAGTTGAGTGTCATGATTAGAGCAATCTGCATTTAATTGATATATACATATCCGAAGCAACATGAGAGATCATAAATACGACTGTTCACTATTTGCTTCGAAATCTTTCAATATGTTGATAATTATCGAGGAAACTCAAGCATGTGATACATATTATGACGTGTCTGACGCAAAGAGCACAGTTAGTCGTCTCCAAACTCTTGCTTGTCATTTATAATCATAATCATATAATGTCCAATAATCTGAACTACGCACTTGCTGTCGATGAGAATAACAAGATAATAATGTTAAATATGCCAATAAGTGCGTCATCGTCAGATTTCTAATCAAATGTCAGTGAAGACGTAGTAATTCCAGCGATTGATTACAAAGGAAACATCCAGATCAACATTGGCATATATGGACATAGATTAGTGAATCAGAAAAGTAGAGAGAAAAGGCAGAATCCAGGAAATGAGCTTCAAACGATTCAATTAGTTGCATCTATCATCGTCATTGTGTTCGACTCTCTCGAAAGAAAAATCCATCACATCAGCACCTTTCTTTTCCTATTGATAAAAGTGCCTCAAGCATATACACATATCCACACGCACGCTCGCTCGCGCACACAAGCATCATTTTGGTGTTCTATCATCATCTTAATACAGAGAAAGAGAGAAAGACCCGATGAGAGATAGTTCTTTTCTCTACTCTGTATAGGCATGGTATAGTATAGGAAAAAAAAGAAAGAAAATACACGAGAAAGTTCTTTTCTATCTATACATATCTACTCTCTCCTCGAGAACACATTGCTGTGTCTGTCTGATCTTCTTTTTTTTTCGGTTACACATCTCGATATATTGGAAATATTATTATTGAAAGAAAAGAAAGAAAAGGGACAAATACGAATGTATAGAAACCTATTGCGGATAGTCGTACTTTGCCCATCAAGGTTAGAAAGAAGTCATCCCTATGGTGTTAACGAGATTGATTGACACGTAACATGTTGAGAGTAAAATTGACGTGTGCGCCAATCGAGCTACTTGTCATGTTCATCTTTCATCGCATCTGCTATGATATTGATACAGACATTTTAGGAGATCGATCCAGGTAAGTGAAAATAGATCGACCATCATCTCTTGCAAAGGTCTATTATTACTATGTGTAATTTAATTCATATGTCTTCGAGTTGTTTCATATATATATGTGTACATTTAAATATACTCATTGCTTTTCTTCGCAAGTGTGTTCGTTTTTTCATTGAATATGATTCAAGTGGAGTGCCAAACCAAATATTACATTTGATCGACGAACGATATTAAATCTGTTGAATTTCTCTGGAGAACATTTATCCTTATCGCATAATTTCTTTCTAGATAACCAATGTCGATCGTGTTGATTGTATTTCTTTCGATCCTACGTTTTACCAGCAGTCAAGAAATTGTATCTCCATATGTTTTTGCCGACTGTAAGCATTTGATACTCCCACCTCGATGTCAATGTTATCATTCGGGTCACGAATCGCAACTACGTTGTTTGAAAAGCGAACTTCACGTATTGCCGAAATTGCCAAACAATATGCGTTGGGATGCGCTGGATTTTTCCTTGAATTACATTACATCTGTCGATAGTTATGTCTTCGCGGATATTTATGTGGAAAAGATCAGTTTGAAATCGAATTATCTACGTCGGATTGAGCCAACCGCATTTGATCAAATCAAAAATTTAAAACAATTATATATTAATCATAATCAATTGAAAGAACTTCATCCTCAAGCATTAATCTCACCTGGTTCGAGTCTCGGTACGTGTTCCTAATCTTCTTATCGTATTTTCACATTCGATCTTTCTTTAGAAATCTTCGATGTTTCATACAATCCTTTTCAATACCTAAATATCGGTGAAATTCTCGTGAATTTACCGATGCTAAAACAATTTCATCTCGTTTCCTGTCATTTAAACAACACAAGTATTTACACATTACTCAAATTAACCGACACGACAATAAATGATACAATACAAAGAACAGGACATTATTCATTGGAACTTTTAGATCTCAGTTCGAATAATTTAACTACGATTTGTCACGGTTTATTCGATGCGTTGTACAATCTCGTCGAACTTCGTCTTCAACACAATTCAATACGTTTAGTTGATAATAATTTTCTTCGATCGCTTTCGAAAATTAAGATTCTTAACTTAGCGCATAATTCTCTCGAACATGCACCCCGATTAGCCAGTCAGACACTGGAAACTTTGAATTTCTCCTCAAATCATATTCATTATTTGAATGATTATTTCGCGTCAAATCTTCCCGCAATTCAAATCATCGATCTCGATTCAAATCTACAATTGAATTCAACTTCCACACGTGCATTTTGCTTCCTAAATCTGAATTCCATCGAAAAACTCACTTTTCGTTCGAACAATCTTCTCACCCTGAATACCTTTGGCGAACTTCTTTGCCGTTTAACTAACCAAACAGGCAAATTTAACGTCATCGATATCAATCACAACATGAATCTAAAATGTAATTGTACATTGATTCAGTTTCAGAATTATCTCTATCATTTCAATGATTTAACATGTACCCATCAAGGTCAAGATCGATATTACATATCGACATTATTGAATTGGTACTCGAATTGTCAGATGGACTTTTGTATGATTCGACAACGGCAGATACAACCAAACTATTGTAATCAAGTTGATGCGGAACGGATTGTCTACGAAGGCACATGCGAAGCGAAATTATCGGCCAGTGAGGAAAGAAGACGATTGAAAGCTAAGTTCACATCGACTATGACGACACTGATTACAAATCAATGGTTTGACAATACAACTGATAGTCGAAATCGAACTTGGATAGATAATTCAACAAAAGCTCGATTTCCAAGTCAGCAACGATTAGGAAATTCCGTTTCATGGAATCAAAGCTCTCTTCTCGTACTCATCTTCTACTTTTTACTTTTGTTATTGTAGATCCACCAGAGATTAGTGTATGTGTCATAGATTCTTTTGTTATTGTACCAACGACATTCCATAGATTTGAACGAAATAAACAGTAGACAGTGTTCGTGTGTTCAGCTCGTTCGATTGCTCTGTCCACTTACATTCGACTACACAAGATTCGACATGAATTAGTCGGATATTTTTGATTGATATGAATATTTCTGTCATGTCGACAAATCTGCCTGCTCATTAATCAGAACGCTAGAGCAAAATGAAGTCGAGAAAATCTTCCAGCATGGCAAAACCAAGTGATCTAATTGCCATACAAAGGTTATATCTGTAAATATGTTATCCCAAGGAAGAGAAAGAACATAGATGATTTACGAAGCATCACAAATGGAACTTATGCATACAGTTCGTCTGCTCGCAGATTACCCGTCAAATAAACATACAATTTACAACTGACACCGCAAATGATTTATGATGAAGTCAAAGATGTGTAGTCAATGATAATCTCATCGGAGTTCTTTGATTTCATTTCGATATTGTCATTTGAGATAATGTTGAAGGTGCTCGGAACAAATTTGATCTTGATTGAAATGCTTACGGACAAACCGTACCATGTAATATTAGGATGAATCGAGCTTTAAACATGTTTCTGTGTACGGTTAAAAGCTCAGGATCGTCGTCGTCAATCGGAATATAATAAAAAATCATTTATACGATGGAATTTTGATTAAGACAAGATATGTTCTATATGCTGAAAGAATGCCGAAGATAGTTTTCTGAATAAATCATCAAACAAGGTTAAATTTTTATTCTCGATTCGAAATTCAGTTTTATCAGTTGAAGATTCGATTCATCAACAACACCCATCGAAATGATAAACTTTGACAGAAAATGGCATCAGTAGTTCAATACGAGCAACAGCATATCTCTCCGATTGAATTTACCTTGACCTTCATATGTTCATTTAAATGATGTAATTTTTATCACGTAAGAGATGCCTTAGAACTCCTTGGAAGAAGCTGCTGACATCCATCGTTATACGCATACTCGGGTAAATCTGATCAAACAAGTCGATATGAATTCGATCAAGGTTAATACATTACGAAATGTTATTTCCTCACATTTCAAAATGTTTTTTGTGTACATGATTTGAAATTGCCTATTAAGGTCAGGAAGAGATTTATTCTCTTTTCAATGATTTCTAAAGTGTTTTTCTTCTCTGATGAGAAGCAAATATATTTCTCGTTGTCCTTGATTTGGGTTTGTATTTCATGTTGATGATATTTATCAGTATAAAAAACACGTACTTAATTAAATTCATATGTATGTTTCATTAATGAAAGTTCCAACCTGCTATGGATGCTAATTATCTGTGAGACACTCGATAGGAAAACGAGATTTAATTGAAATGTCTATAAATAGAAGATATCGTTTATTGACGCGTAGTTTTGTTTTGTTGTCGTCAATCGATTGTTTTTCAATGACGTCACTAATGAATCATTTTGTAGAGAAAATTTCGAACTTTTCCCCGTTCTATTTAAAATATTTATTGTCAATTCTCATTCATGATATATCTTAGTCAAATATAAGCCTTGTAGGCGATTGAAAATCATGTTCCTACTACGCTCTCTTTGAGCAGAACAGATCAAACATGAGGAACTGATGTATTAATCTAAATACAGAGATGAATTGACGGTGGAAACTGGTTAACGAGTTTTATTTTACACGAAAAGTCGAATATGCAAAGAAAAACGAGCAAACAATTAACTCGATTTCGAAAGGGAGAAAAACTGTAAGCGCAATCCAAGGCCGTAATGGCCTTGTTACTGTCTACTTGGTTGTTACACAAGGTCGTGTTATGTTGTTGATGTCAATAGTTAGAAATGAGGATGATGATGTTGGCGGAATAGGAAAAAAGAAGATTTATCAACGCTTACGAATATGTAAATGATTTCAAACTACAGACACGATTATGTCAAGGTGATAATCAATTGATATACCTTGAAAACAAAAGCTTTTCATCATGTATTCTTTTGTTTATGCACGGTCAACTAGAAAGAAAACCTTTTTCAATTTAGAGATCAAGTAAATCCGATAAAAATTATTTTATCTAAACTTCAACGTATTTGTTCCATTAATCATTATTAGAAATACCTTAAAGCGTAAGAAGATAAGAAATTCACGAGCATTGCTTATGCAATTTTTGATGATTTAGAGATGATGTAATTGTGATTATTCATTTCCTATTTAGATACTAATCGACCCCAGTTCTTTTGCCCCTGAGTTTGAAAAATATCACGTGCAACATACGGACCTAGATTCTACAAGCTTCTTGCATTTTCTTATCAGTTATTTTGTTGCTAATATCATTGTGCACATAGATACAGTAGAACTTCTTTTTATTTGCCTTTTCTCTTTCCGTTGCTACCCTTCGTTACCCGACTGTTGGACAAAAGCCAATGGTAAATAGACAGGTCAGTTTCTTTTTGACCGCAGCGTACACGTACGATAAGTTTTATTAGATGACTGAAAAAGGACGACAGAACGCAACAAAGATGAATGCTCGCTATGTGCTTCATCCAGACGATGGGAGTGAGCGAAAGATTGTTTCCTCTGACCGTTCGGAGCACATAAGCTCATGTTCTCACTATCTTCAATCCATTGTAATAAAATACAGTCGAGATTTCATTCTTTTCTCTCTCTCTCTCTCTTTCTCGCTCTTGCTGAACTCGCATCTAGTGTGCAAATAAGAGAAATAACTGGATTGCATGCAAATTAATCAGGCAAAATTCAGACTAGATTAGGATTTATACTCAAACTCCGATGGAAATACCTTGGCGTGTACCCAATACTCTCTCAATAGAGGCGTACGAAGCGACGCAGATCGCACCACGCGTTTCTTTTCTTTTTCGCTCGTGGAAAGTGCTTAGAACGAAATTATTGTCAAACAATGATACTGATCCATGCGATAGCAAAAAAGTACAAAGACGTAAAAGAAGGAGTATAAAAAAGGGAAAAACGAAGAGAGAACGAGCCGAATTGTTCTCGCTTGTTGTATACGTTCGTGGGACGGACACTAGGGCCAGTTATAGTTTTGTCGAATAATAAACATGTTCATCGGAGTAGTCGTTCAACTAAACAAGTGAAGAGAAAAAGCGAAGTTTGACGATCGAGTTTGCCATGACATCATGAGAAAAAATCGTGGTGTTCATCAGATAAAAGATCATTCCGTTGTTGAAACAAAACGACATAAACCGTGCTTGAACTTTTGCGTTTATCGATATATTCAAGATAAAATACAAAATCGTACGATTTATCGCCGTTGTGAAAATCGAACACATTGCGATGGTCGTGCACATCAACTAGTCGGAAATGCTTCTTCCCTCATTCTGACAATTAAATATAATCAACAACCTTTTCTGAATAATCTCATCATGAATCAAACTGGAACTATTGAAAGTCTGAATCGTCAACAACGACATTTCAAAACATCCTTTTTTCAGGCAAATGAAGAAGGTAAGCAGTTTGTGGCATTCTTTTTTTTTATATACATCTTTTCACATGATCAGGTAGTGATGATGAAGAACGAGGGCTAGTAGATAGAACGAGGGCAGTGGATGAGGGAGGATGGGACGGTAAAAGAAAAAGAGAAGCGACGGATGAGGAGGACAAAATGTCCGTCCGCTTTGCTCGCAGAAGCCGACGGGTCGTCGAAGAAGGAAAGAAGCAAGTGACATATTTTATGTTTTTGTATACGTTTGTGTGCATGTTTCGCTTGAGTTTCGCTTAGAAAAAAGTCTTCTATATACAAAGAAGAAAAAAAATATTTTCTTAGTTAGTTTTAATCAAATTATTATCCATTTCTTCAAGGGAAAACGTATCGTTTTATGTGTAAGTTAAGTTTGTGCACGTGTATAGTAAGAAATAATTCAGTGCATTTTTTTCTCTGAAACGCACGGTAGGATGGTGTCGTCATTGGTTTTTCCGCTATTGTGTGAACTTTCGCAGAGAAAAAGTACAATAGGAAAAAGATCTGTTTCAGAGAAATAATTCTCATGAAGCCATACTATGTTACGAATTTTAACAGTTACCAATAGGAACGTTCGCACACATAAACTTCTTTTAAAACAGACATTTAAAGGAAAAAATATGTTCGCTTGACTTGTTTTTTTTTTGAGTCTATACAAATGATTTCTGTGTCTTTTGTTTTCGTATGTGCACTAGATTATTAATCGAGTTTCATGATTCTCGTCAGTATTTAGTCATTCGATCTTTGATGATTCATGACAATGCTTAGGTTTTTATTCTCAGTTCTTTTTATGATATGTTTATCTGAATACTGTTAATGCCATTTACTGTGAATCGATGAGGAAAAGAGAAAATCTGACATTGATGATTTTGACCGGCTAAATAGAGAGATTTTACACGCGACCAACCGGCTCGCAACAAACTGGTACGAACAAGACCGACGTCGGCTGTGCTGCTTCTTTTCCTTCAACCAGTGCGAGGTTTCTTTCGTTCGCATCTGTGTATGCAGTATGTTTTGCGCATGCGTTGCACTCGCATACTCGATAGGAACGGAAAGACAGAGAGCGAGAGAGAGAGCGAACGATTGAAAGGGCAACCATCATCACTATTATCGTTGTTGAGAGAATGCATGAGTGAGAGAATGCACAGAAGGGCTGGGCCCCATTTCTCAGCCCCCTTCACCACGATGATGTTGATGATGATGATGCGAGAAGAAACGAAAGAGAAGAGATGTGGAAAAAACTGCCTACTCATATTTTGGTAAAACTTCATAGGTGAGATAATATTCATATCGGAAAAGAGGAAATCTATTCGTTAATCGGCTATTTAACAGCAATTATTTAAATTGAAATACCTTTTGTCTGTCAAGCTATATTTAGAACGAAAAGATTCTATCAAAAGGTAACAAAAGAAATAAAGAGTTTTGCTTTAATCAATCTGATTCATCATTTCATTCATATCGGCAATTAAGTTTCATAGTCGTCTAGACATTAGAATGAGATATCACACGATAACCTAAATCAAAGAAAGTATGTGAGAAGAAAAGAACTTTTTCTTTTTCTTAAAGCATTTCGATTGAAAGTTTTCCATTCCGTTGATTAGAAACGTAGATAGAAGTTTTTCTACCAGCGCCAGTTCGATGTCATGGTGATTATTGTCTAATTCTGTTTTTGATGTATTCACTATGTAGATGATCTTTCATTATCACCAACATCATCGACCATGACATCGCCAATTAAACTTGAAAATCATCAAAATCGACAGCTGCAGCATTTTCAACAGCATGGACCAATGGGTAAAAATCTTCATTTATCAGAAGTCATCACGACTGCTGCGGCAACTCATCCTCACCATTACAATGGCCTCGATACGCATCCCCATAGCATTGTTGATCCGGCCGAAATGACAAAATTACTGAGTAATATTACAACATCCACCAGTTCAGCATTGAAAATGATTTCAACGTCATCGACGATTGATTATCCAAGTCGTTTAAATCATTTTTCATGGGAAGAAATCGAAGGACGATACTTACCAGTAATCTTCAGGTAGATGACGATGATTTATCGATTACTAACGTTTGATATTGATTGATTTTCTTTCCTAGAAATGAAAATGATTGTTTGCAACGGTATACATCCAAGATGTTTGTTGAAAATACTCTTTTTCAGAGTGAATCGTGGCAACGACATATCGTCTTAGCTCGTTCACTTCCTCCATTAATATCTTCTCCGTATACCGAAAATGAACTGAAACTCTTTCGTTTAATTGTCGAATGGCACTTAGCGGGTTTTCATTTTAAAACAATTTTACCGACCGATTGTCTCATTCGTTTTGATGATCTACTCGATTTCTATAGTGCGCTAAAAAAACTACGTGATAACGTATCAACTACATCCTTTAACCGACAAATTCCGCCAACACCAACACCATCAGTTCCTTCTTTGATACCAATGGGACCTCCTAAACAACGTCTTCCCCCGTCTTCGAATGGTTCATCTCAATCATTTGAATTACCGACCATGGGAGGAAATCCATCATTAAAAGTTAATTCGCACCATCGCCAGTCATCAGCAACAGTACCTGGAAAAGCCTACCTTCCATCAGTACACCAGTCCCATCCATCTAATCATCTTTTACAACAAAGTGCTGATGTACTTGCATCACTCGCTAATCCATCGTCTCAGCCATTTAATTATCCTCCGTCGACGATTAAATCTAGCATACCCATAGCACCATCGTCATTTGCAGGCCAGGTAAATCATAACAATACGAGTTCTCTTCTAATTTCTAACATTAACCGATGCTATTTTTAGTGGAATGAAGGTTTAACGAAAAGTAATGATAAAATTCGTTCGTCACTTCCACGACCGGGAATTCCGTTGAATAATTCTCTTCCAAAAGAATCAGCGCTATGTGATAAACGTTTTCTACCACAGAAGATTCCTCAACAAACTCATGAAAACCATTCAAATTACATGCCGACGAATCCTTCTCGTGAAACAAAAGAATCTGGTTGGGTACAGATCAACAACGTGTTCGTTCCTTACATAGTCAAAATCAAACTACGCGAGAATGAACTCGGTAAAGAAATTCTCAGCGAATGATGACTCATCTCTCGACATCCGATTTCGTTTCTTTAGAAAAATGTTCAACTCGTCAACCACCACCACAATTACAACGTGAATTTTATGTTCCGTATGAAATTTTAATCAAATGTAATATATTTTCTGATAATGAATTCGCATTTAAAAAATTTCTGATCAAAGCTACTCAACAAGATTTCGACATTTTCAACAATCTGATATCGAACATCAATATCTTCGACGAGAAAGTTCCCGAAAAAACCCTTTTAGTCAATCTCTATCATGTCATGATCGGTCTGCAAAGAATTCTCTACGTGAAACTATTAGCAACAAAACAACCGCGTACACAAGTCAATAAATTTCACAGTGAAGTTCTAACGCACAAAGGCGGAACTTTACTAATGGATGGAAATAAACTTGTACCATATATCATCCAAAATAATCGCTTTTATGTTCCATTGATGTATGCTTATCATTCATTACCACAGACTCTTTTACAAGCTAAACGAGGTGCGCGTGCACCGCGACAATATGAAATCGATTATTTAAATTTGTTATTTCTCTATTTTTCAATCGATTCACCTCCATTGACACCTGATACATTACTTGTCGATGCGTTCAGTATCAAATCTACAGATTTACCAGCGCCAGTTCACTTTCAAACACTGAATGAACATCAACAGCATGAACGACATCGGCTACTAAACACACTCATGCGTATCAATCAAACAAATGCAAAAGTACCAAGTAAATCTCAACAACAAGCAACAAAATCATCGGTAGTAGTACATTCATCTATGCAAAAGTCGAGTAGATGTTCAGCAACAAGTGTAGTTGTTAATCCATTAATTCATCATCCATCATTTTATGGTTTACCATCATCGACCTCACCAGTAAAACCCACTTCGTCGAGTTCTATTCCGATGAATCCCTCATTATTACCAATGGAATTAGCAACAAAGCGACCGTTGCAGCAAGTGCAATTAAAAACAATTCAGTATGATAATCGAACATTGACTGCAATTGTGAAATCTTCTGATTTGCCGAAATCGGATTGGAAAATCTCCGTTCAGCATATTTTCGATCGATTTCTGTTTGACATCAACTACGAGAAGTTCATCCAATGGTGCCAAACCAATCTTCTTTTATCTTTGATAAAATTAGATGATGAAGAGAAGAAAATTGTCAATGATTATCAAGATGATTATTTTGTTTATTTTCGTCATCTTGAAAGATGTACTGGTTTACTCAATGAATTGAAACGTGGAACAATTAGTATGACGCTGTTACCATCATCAAATAATGAATCGCAACAACAACAACAACAAACTGAGGGCGGACCCGTGAAATTGCAATTAGCGGGTATGTAATCGTATTAGAAATAGATATCTCCAATATAAATGCATTTGTATTTGACTAATTGAAAATAATCTCATATTTTTATTTCTAGGAGCGAAAAAACGTAAAACAACAGTACCAACCACACGGCACGTTCCATTTTCATCTCAATCACCACCCATACCTGTGACCAATAATCCAAATCCTGTCACGGTGAATACTTCTTGTCGATCACCTGAACTACTTACGAGCATTGAGCCTACTCCTGCAATACCATCATCATCTCCACCTCCTCCTCTGGATAATTTACCAATCGAAAATGATGATGATGATGACAACGATGATTTTGATGAAGGCAAAACTAATGTAATGCCGGTCGTCGCTGCTGTTCAAGAAGAACAAACAGTTCAAGAACCAAATTCGTCATTTTTAATCGTTGAATCAAACGATGGAGATGATGGAAAAATTCATCTTGATGATACTCTACCTTCTTGTTCATCAGGTTACGAATCAGCTGCGGCATTAACCAATATCGATGTAAATATGCCTCACAATGCCAGTAGTGATGATGACGATGACGTTGAAGATGATGATGAAACCAATTCTAATACTCATTCTCCAACATGTCAATCCGAACATTCATTAACGCCAATTTTATCAACAGTTTCATCGAATGTCGCTTTGGATTTAAATCATGCAGAATCAACTCATCTATCACCGGTGATATCCAATCAAAAACTAAATCTTCGACAACGTAACAAACAAGACAAATGTCGTGCGCGATCACCTTCGCCCATGCCACGTCATACCAAGAGAAAACGTTCATCAAATGAACAAGATCTTCCAGGAAATACTATCACAAGCGAGCAAATTGAACACCATTTACGAACGTTACTAACACCTGTCAATGAACAGCAACGACGTACACGAACAAGACCTATCAAAACTCCCGTCCGTCTTGTCGAAGAAATCGCTTCAACCAATCCTGTCAAATCAAACGATATAGATCATCATTTTGATTCATATTCAACTTCTCCATCTGTGACATCACCTGATGCGATAACGAAATCTTACAATAATGATTCAAGTCTGACTCCACACACCCATGAAACATGCACATATAATGTCACCATATCTACGAAACCTAATAAATTAGGTTTAACTATAAAGAAAGTGATTCAACGATAAGAAATTCTTTGTATTTGTTTTAACCTATGGCTGAGAAACAGTCGAATTATTTTTTGATTTTGTCATTTCGTTTCTTTCTTTTCTTTTTATCACGTGTATGTATATCGAGGAAAGTTGAAAGAGGATATTCATGTAGCTTTTTCGATTATGCCGTCAATTCTTTATTTCTGTCATTGAATTGACCTAAGGAAAATCAAAAAGAAGTTCATCCCGTCCTGAACCTCTCCTATTTCATGTACATACATTGATTGTTGTTATCACTGTCTTTTCCTCTCTTGTTTGAATATCCCAATCTACTTCTTCTATACATCGACTTTGTTTTCGTTGTATTTGTTCTTTTTTTTTTATGGAACTACTCATGTTGATTGTTATTTGTGTATTTCCTTTCTTTTCTGATGATAGTTCAGGAGAATAAGATTTATGTATGAATTTGAACACAAAGAAACCGAAGTGCTTCGAATTCATGTGCTCAAACATATGTTTGTTTTATTCGGAAGAACAATACGAAATTTTGTTAGGATTCAACAATCATCCCACTGAGCAAATACCCACTTGCACCAGACATACGAATGAATGGATGTGTTCGTTCATCGAGAATCTGAGCAAAAAAGAAAGTTAAAAGGAGAAAAGTAGATTGGGAATGAAAAGGTTTACCTGATATTCTCGTAACCATGAATCAGCCACTTCAACGTGGATCGTTCCGCCACGTTTTTTCAAATATTGATAGCATTCTAACAAACTCTAGAAGAAATCGGAAAAGAGATACTTGTGTCGGCGTCTACAGACAAAGTTTTTACTTGAACAGATTGAGAATAGACTACAAAATGTGAACACAATGCCATATAATCGATTACATGTTGTAATATTGATAATGAATCATATTTACTTGCTATGATTAAACTAAAACCAAAGCAATACTTGTAAATTCATGTGATTTACATACCTATTCATTTTTGTTTTTTCAAATAGTTGTAAACCATCAAGACGACGCTGTCGACGTGCTTGTGCTTGTAACATCTTTTCACTTGGCTCTTCTTTCGATGGTTTCACTTGATTAGCACGTTCAACCGCATTGATATCGCCTTCAAATAACACTCAACATATTCGACAAACTTCGAAATGATATTTACCAATGTTTTCAATAGGAATGTTGTAAATATTTGAAGTATACTCTTCGGAAAAGTCCATAAAATCACAACAAGGACTAAAACGACGAAATATATACGAGATTATCGTAAATAAAACTTACGCAGTGGAATTATGTTCTCCGGCTGGCGTCAAATTGAATATCAATCCATTACCTCCCGCACAGCGTTGAATCACAGATGCTAAAATCAAACCCTGACATGACTCGACTATTGCCACATTCGAATCATGACTGATATTTGATAATGACAAAAGCATTGCTAAAGTGTCACGTCGTAAATACCTATAAATATCAAACAAATCGAAATAAAGTTCATATTGAATAAAACATGGAATTTGAATTACATGATTTTTTGTAAATCATGCGTGTACGCTTGACATAACAGACGGATACTTGGCTTCCATGCTTGATAGATTTGAATGTATCTTTTTCAAAGACAGAGAGAAATTTAGGATGAAAAAGAAAAGATACGAAAGTTACTTCTTCTTTTTCTTGTTTAGATATTTCTGTTGAGAATAAACAGTCTTCTTTTCGAATGTTGCACTTTTCGATACTAATTGAGAAATAATTGTTTGACCTGATGCACCTTCGGATTTCATTTGCTCGATTTCATCATGTTGTAGTGTTTGGTTGGCAGTTCCCTCGTCACATAAATCTCGATTGTCTTGCCCAGCAGCATCCGAAGATGTCTCTTCTATGAATACAAGTGATGATTTAGTTAGCGTTTTGTTTGATAAGGGAGTTTTAACCTGTCTGAATGAGATTTTTAGCTTGATCGGTCTTGATTTTACTCAAATATCGATCCTTCAATTCGAAATAAGTTCCATCGCATTCATCAATCAAATGATCGAGAAAGATTTTGTTTTTATCGATAAATATCGGACTGAAATGAGTCACAGTCGAGATTAGTTTGAATAGAATTGCATAACCTACCGTTCTTTACGAATCTGCACGATTTTCGTTCGATCATGACATGTCAAAACAGCATGATCCCCATCTTTAAACAAAGCCATCTAAAACAAACATACACTAATATATTTCTTCCATTCTCATCGAATATATTACGTTAAAAGCACCTAGCAAGTAACTCATTAAAAAAGAAATACACAAACAAATAAAACAAAGCGACTAGTAAAGACGAGAGAAGAATTATATTGATTTGTTTCTATACGTTTGCATACTGTTAACGAGATGATCCTTTAGCAAAGACGTCACTGATTGCATGAAGAATAATCGAGACTGCGTATGCACCGGGATCAACAGTAGGTGTATCGACAGCTTTCGTATATGATGCTCGGCCAACTTTGGCAACGAGACTTTTCGTTTCATTGGTAGCACGTTCAGCGACAAGTGCTAACTCTTTCCAATCTTGTGATGTAAAACTTTGTTGGGCACGTTTCGTTTTAATGAAATCAACAGCTGGTATCAAAGCATCTAATAGACTTTTATCACCTGGTTGGACACGTGCATACGATTCAACCGACTGAATTCCAGCTTCGAATGCATCACTAAGACTATCGATGATTACACCGGATTTGATTGATAATGATAAGTGCTTAGCTACAGCAGCAAAGAACAATCCACAAACTAAATTATAATGAGTTTGAGAAGTTTTAAATGAACAAGGTGTATCTTTACTTGCACCACAGGTTCCACCCATTCGACTTTCGGCAATGAGACCAAGACGACGAAATAACGATGCAGGACGATCGAGTATTAGTTTTTGATTGCTGAGATCATCTGAAATTGTGTCCGCAGCACGACCAAATGCTGTACCTGTGTCACCATCACCTGAAATTGCGTCCAATCGATTGAGTTTGTCGATTTCATTGTGAAGCCGTTTAACCACTGTCTGAAGAGCTTGATTAATTAATTCAGCAATCGATGTGTCGAATAGTAAATCTGATTGACTAGAACAGAAAAGCAAACTCGGTGTTAAGTTCTATTCTCTAGTGTGTGGAAAATGTTTACTTAATTACAAGTTGAGCAGTAAATTCATCGTTGAATTCTAATGAATCAGACAGAGTTTGAATACTCGTTGGTAATTGTGTTGGACTGATTATTTTTGGCCAGGCGAAAGCATCGGTTGGTGCTTCGAGTAAATTCAATACGATTGTACTCATATCTGCTGGCAGTTTCAATACTGTCAGTGAAAAACCTTTCATATTGAATGATGTCATCAATTCTCCACAGATCACGCGTTTCACATGTAATGCTCGATGTTCCAAATTTTCAATAGCATCTTTCACAATGATGCCCAATTCAAGATTTGAACAACCACCTGAAAAAGAACAATGAAAGTTGAATCATTTGTACAAAATGAGGTTGAAAAACAAACCGAGATTATTGACTAGAAGAAGTACAGTATCATCACGTTTGATATCCAATGCACGTGTGCCGCGAAAAAGTTGACCAAATGCTAAATCTGTTGCTTGTCGTGAGGGTAAAAGCTTTAGTTTTTGAGCACCGCATTCACCGTGAATACCCATGCCTAGTTCCATTTCATCATCAGGTAACTAAATTATTGATAAAATTAGTCTTCTTGAATATCGAAGCATAATTTCAGTCGAAAAACGTACATCAAAAGCTTGTTGTTGACCTGGTGCGCGAATGCCTGATGCAGATAAACCAATCGTGCGTAATTGGCCTCGAACCTTTTGACAAATATCGACAATTTCACTCATCGTTTTCCCCTGTTCAGCCAACGCTCCAGCAACTTTAATCACCAATAAAAGCCCAGCTAAACCTCGCGGTCTACACAAATACAAACAATTAAATCGTATTTAACAGTTCCGCTTTGCATACCCAATGGCATTGTCAACTGCTGCATCATCGGCTACTACTAACATATCAATATCAATTGACAATTCTCGAGCACGTTCCATTGCTAAACCAAAATTCAGTCGATCGCCAGTATAATTCAAAATAATCAAAAGTATCTGTTTAGCACCACGACGTTTCATTTCGATAATAAGTCGAAAAATGTCCGACGATGGTGGCGAGGCAAATATCGAACCCGATATACCTAGAAATCAATCATTCTAAACATTCGTTGACACTCGAAAGAATATCTTACAAGCACTTAATAAACCACGACCAACAAATCCAACCTAAACGATACAATTCAGTGTTTGAAATGACTTCTGATCCGGAGATTTACCGTTGCTGGTTCATGACCAGAGCCACTTCCGCTGATGATTGCGACTGATGGAACTTGCGATCGAGCAATTACTGCTCTACCCGCTAATTCTAAATGACTATGCGCTCGAACATAACCGATCAGTGATTCGTCTACACATGAGTGAATGTCGTTTACAAAATGGCCTGGCATCTGAAAGAGGATAGTTTTGGTTATCAACTGTTTTATCTCAATAAGGAGATGAAAATCCTGCTGGTTCAGTTTTATTATTTGCATTTTGCACACAAAGATAAAGAAATCGTTCACCCATATACTCAGGACTAACTAGTTTCTCCACAGCACTCAAAATTTCCTTTTGTTCTTCCGGTGATTTATCACGAGCAAGTGTCTAAATATGAAAACTCGGTATATCCATATGCATTCTGACGAAAGATCTTTCTTACCGATGCTCGTATATCAATTCCCAAGTTATAGAGAAAGTTTCGTTGAGAAACAGGCCCATAAAAATGAACTAAACGCAAATCTTCAGTGATTAATAACTGTACATTCTGCTTACCATTTGCTATTTGACTACCACTTAGAGCTAATTCTTCGAAATCAACATCAGCTGTTATATCGATATTTCCAGGATCGGACAGTGCATCAACAACTTCATGTTTACGAAAACCCTATTCAGATCAATACGTTCCACATAACTTTGATTGATGTTAATGTACCTACACGAAGTGTATCTTCTTTTTCTCCCCAATGTCCGTAATCGCCGATCAATGCTGAACCGCCATGAGTTGATAGGTGTTTACATATACCTTGCATCATGACTGAACGTTCAGGACTGATTTCGACATGTTGTCGGTCATCGATACCGTTGAGAAACTGAAGAAAAACAGAAGAATTTAAGATAATTAGTTAGAAAAATATCGTACATTTTGATACATTCGACTCATGATTGTTTGTTTTGACGATAAAACATATTGAAGTTGTTTAGTAGTTGGATTCCAATCGATCATAACTTCTCGCCAACCTTGAGGAGTTTTCTGAAGGTTGAAAAAAAGCTTTCAAGTGATTTTCATCAAATCTGAGCATGTTTTACTTGAAATTTATGAATTGGATACGCATCAAATAATTCATTGGTTACGAAATACGTCTTTCGAGCCTGTAATTGTTTGAGATCGTCGATCCACATCAATGGACAATTACCATCAGGAATACGATAGTCATTTGAAATAACCGGATCGAACTTGATAGAAAACAAGAAAATTTGAAAAACTGTTTCTTCTTTCTTATTTCAATTACTGATCGATGTAGCAATGTTTCAGCTTGGCGTCGTCGCATCAACGGACTAGCTTCATATAGAGCAATCGACGTGTGTACATCGACATATTTTCGCTTTCTCAACACCTTAAAAACTCAAATTCTTTCTTCATACACAAAGTAGCAACTTACTCGAACGATATCATTCATTAACGTACCTCGACCAGGCCCTAATTCAACCAATTGTAAATCCTTGCTGCCACTATTGGAATGTTCATACATAATCCATACAGCTAATAACTGTTTTACAAGGTTTAGAAAGTCTATTTACAATCAAATGATCGTACTTCACCAAATATCTGACTTATTTCTGGTGCGGTGATGAAATCACCCTTTCTGCCGAATACCTCATGGCGAGTGTAATAACCCTGAGAGAAAAAAGAATGTCAGTAACCAGATTCATCTCATGAATATTGATTAGAAAAACAGCTCAGCTAGAAGTATGATTACATATTGTGGATTTAATAACGATTCACGCATAAAGTCAGCAATTGTGATCGGACCACCAGCTTTGATTCGTGTGGATAGTTGTTTTACTAATCCGTTCGTATCCGATGAAGCCCATGTTTCTGAACAAGAATGAGTTGACTCACTGCTGATATTGGATTGATTACGATAGAGAATCAAACGATCGATCTGTCGAACAATTGTACGAGATTTTTGACGGATGACGAACATCTGAAATCGAACTACATACCTAGGAAAGAATGATTGATGTTTTTCAGTAAATCATCGGATTAGCTTTAACTAGTTTATCATACTGTCATAGTTATGTCTTTTTATTTCGCTGTGTGTCACAAATAGCCAAGGAAAATAAATACAATCTCAGTCGTTTCCTACTTAACTCGTCTTTCTTCTGTTTTGTTTATCTCCGTACTGTTTTATATTTAGTAGGCACTGCACGCATAGTGTATTTTATCATAAATGAAGAGAAGACAGATAACTATTAACTATCGGGAAAAGATCTTCTGTATATTTTTAACGAAAAAGTAGAGACTGAATTACCAGACGCTAATAAATCAAGGGAAGACCTGCGCATTTCTCGTATTTTCGTCTAGAAAAGAAATTTGTTCGATTGAAAAAACCTCATAAAACTATTTTCTCTCTAGAAGTTAAGATTTATCTCCTAGAGTCTTCTCTATCTAACGATGACAATATCAGAAACTGTCTCATTCAATATTTGACAACAGTAAATGAGGTACTGTATCTTCCATAGATATCATTCTATATACGCACTCGCTCGTTAGTCTCCTTTGCTTACACTACTCGTTGGCTTTGACATTGAGATTGAAGTATATTCTCATATGTCACGTGTCAACACTTGTTATATAGTACTGATACAAATACATGAGACAAACATATAGACATATTGACCAATAACTGAGTGTGTTTTGTAACCAAAGAAAAACTATTTACAGAAAACAATGAAAATAGTTTAATTAACGAAGATTATATCTAGAAAATGTTATTAATTCGTTGAGTCGAATACTAGTGTCGTACCATTCGCTGGAACTTTCACAGGTTTCATATATATCCAAGGATCATCTAACATATTGGCTCGAAAAAAACCTCTCGAAGTACGATTTCCGTAATAATTCGTCGTCGATGGATATTCGTTATTATCCGCAGATTGTTCTTGTTGTTGTGTAGAACTCGAATCGCGATTTTGGTGACGATAGCCGCCACCACCACCACCACGTTTATTATATGGATAACGAGGACGTTGTTGAAAATCTATAAAGACTAATTAAGTATAAATTTCAACAAGGATTGATTTCACATACCTCCGTATGGTCGCGTTCGTGTATTGGATGTTGAGTAAGGACCTACGAATTGAAATGATTGATTTTTGTAGAGAAAAATGTATGGAAATTTTACCCTGGTAGTGACCATGTCCTCGAAAACGTGGTTGTGATTGAACAGGCTCTTGCCATGTTGTGGAATTGGATTGATGCGAATCGTGTGATTCAGGTGGTGGATAATCTTGTTGGTCCATATTTTCAATTTGAGTGATCTTTCGTACGAAAAATGAAATTATTTAGAATAAATATAGAGAATGAAGAAACGACGGACGTTTTCATTGGTTGATTGAAAATCGAAAGAGAACAGTTAAATGCGACATCACAATGGTCGTTGCTTAGTTTCCAAAACATCAAATGGCAATGAGAAACGTTCTTTTCCATTGCAAACAAACATTCTAAATATTCAGCGAGATATTTTTGAATGGCTGTACGAGCACATCGTTTACAATCGGCAAAACCTCTGACGATTTCACGATGGTCTGATTTGAATTAAATTGTTTTCGAGTAAAACGGTATGTTTTTTCGATGAATATTTAGGTGGAGCAGTGGTTACCATGGTCAACCGATTGCGTTTGTCAGTCAATCGGTGCTCTTCTATGCTACGGACGATGGTCTACGTTTTCATGATTTTATCGACAAAGATTATCAACAATGCACAACATTACAAGCGAATGGTCAGGGTGTTGGAGTCATCGTATGTTCTTTGATAAAAGACAAAGATTCAATGCATTGTTATTTTGTTCTCTAGGCTGGTAATGCTGATGTGCATTTATTCGCTTACGCTGATTATCAACATCCACCTGTGATTCATTTACATGAATATCCAACGATGAGTGAAGTGAAACAGTTCACCAATGGAGCGGAGTTAGAGTATACTGCAATAGAATTCTCTGCGACAGATGAATTATTAGCATTGTCAAGCGCACCGGACTATCTGCTAACGATTTGGAATTGGCGTTCGGGAATGAAATTAGCACAATGTGAAACAAGCAAAAAAGAATTAGTAGAAATTCGTTTTAATCCGAACTCCTGGAATGATATTGGCATACTCTATCGTGATCAGATCAATTTCTATACTTGTGAACGACGAAATGACAAATATACTCTTTTCGAAAGACAACTACCGTTAGAATTGTTCAATCAGACGATCGCACACAATCGTCCAACATTTCAACAACTGCAGGCATCTGATCGCAAAAAAAGTATAGAAAAAAAACAGTCGTTCTATTTCGATTGGAATTAAATATCACTTTTCTCTAGTTGCTGATGTTATTCGACTATATCCAAGTCGATTTTCATATACTTTAATCGATAGTACCATTGGTATCGATCAAGGTGCGAGTGTTAAACTTGTTGGTATGTTCATTTGAGCCTCAGGAATTCGATCCGATCTATCGAACATTTCTCTTTAGCATTCGATGCTGAAAATGAAGAGGCATTTCAAGCATATGTCGATGAACGTGTCGAACTTGTTGCCACATCGTTCTGTTGGGGTGACACCGGCTATGTTTTCATTGGTACATCAAATGATGCACTTATTCAAATTATTCTTCAATTTGATCGCGAACGACAACCTTTCCGTACAACACTTTTCGCTGGTGAAGAAGCCTCGAAAACTGCAAATTCACTTGAAATGTTCAAAACGATTCGTTTACACCAACAAGGTCTATTCTGTACAGGTTCAGATAATGTCGTTCGATTAATCACATTTGACAAGAATGATGGAGCATTGCAAGATGTGAACAATGTCAACGATATCATGGAATTAACATCAAAATTGAAATCGATCGCATTCAATCAATCCTACGATAGTTTATTTGTTTGTTCCACTCAAGGTATCGATATGATTGATTTATTAACGCAGGAACAAAGACCAGTGGCATTAGTTCCCATCTCCCTTGGTAAAATCATCGATGTGGCTATTCTTAGTCCAGCCAGTGAATTGGCTATCACGGTGCGAGATAAAGGCGCATTAGAAGCTTGGTCAATGGCAGATGGTACAAGAAAATATTCGACGAATATCGAAAATCAAACGATAAGTCATATCGCGGCAAATCCTGTCTTACCTCTGATTGTCGTAACAACAATTACGGGTTATTTTTATTTTTTTGAAGTTGATACTCGTGGTTTTCGTCTTTTACATCGCATTCGAGTTCATTCCAGTGATGTCCGTTGTATTAAATTCAATTCTCGTGGTAATATTCTCATCTCAGTTGGTCTTGATAATAGTTTATTCATCATGGAAATGAAAACAGAAGAAACATCAGCTGAAGATATGTTTCATATTATCTATCGAACCGATCTGGAAGGTGAACCATTTGCACTAGATTCCGACGATTTTGCTAATCAAAGACACGCAAATGAAGCTCCCAATGAAACACAAATTGAACAGGACGACGAACAAAATGGTAATCTAAAAGAGAAGCTGTCTGAAACTCGAATTATTATTGCACTGACGACAAAAACAGAAAAACATGGTCGATTTCTCATCATAGATTTCGATTGGCAACAATATCGAGGTAGAAAACTTCCACTACCAATCAGATATATTCTATTTTCTTTGATACTATTCAGAGACGCGTAATTCTTCATTGACCGATACAATAATCAACGATTCGAATACGAAAATAATTACAAAAACAGTCTTTGCCATTTATGATACCATCGAAGATTTTCTTATCACCGCAAGAAATCAATTGATCACAATCGGAGGAAAAGTTTTACGAATGTGTCGTATACCGGATGAAACTGGAAAGGTAGGAGAAGAAAAAGACATGTTTTAATAGAGATCTCTGTATGTATAAACAGAATAAGACTGAACGGCGTGGACGACGAGGCGTGAGGAAACTTTTGATTTCTTTTGCATATTGCTTTCTACGCTGGAGCGTTTTTTGATCATGAATGATTGTTTTTCTCTTATCCAGGATTCGAAAAATCGTCGATTGAAATCGAAACGAGATGTATAATTCAAATTGCTCATGATTTTTTTGCTTTTATATTTTATTTCTACCACGAAATCTTCTCGAATGTTCTCATCTCTTTCCTATCTAGGCAGGAAAATTGATCAGCGTCGAGGCACAAGACTCACTCGCTGGCTTATCGACTCCGGGTGGTTATTTATACAAAAACAAATCCGTTCCATCATGGATTCTTGGTGTTAGTCGAAGTGGAATTCTCTCGATCATTCGTGCTTCAAATATGGTCTGTTGATTTGATTTCGATTTGCCTTTATAAACCTTTCAAACTTTGTAGGCAGTCGAATCATCTGTACCAGCACATAGTTCGTTGGCCGGTGGTTGTCATAAATCAGCATGGAGTGTGGATTCGAAATATTTCGTTTCAATCGGTGAAGATAATTCGATTGTTGTTCTTCAAACCAAGTAATTTCAAAGCATTGCATCGAAAAATCAACGAGTAAAATCGATTGGATTTAGATATGCTGGTCGGTTGATGGCCCGAAATGGTTATTCATCAGAAGAATACAATCGTATCATGAGAACTCTTCAACATATGCCAACCTATGACAATACTCCATTATCTTTATACGAAACTCTCTACGATCGATTTGTAAGGAAATGAGAAATCTTCTTCGTGTGATGAATGATTTGTGTTGATAGACGACTTATCAAACGAAATTCCAAAATGCCAATATGACTCCGCCATTACCGCCAAAGGAAGATGCGTCATGGGTACAATTGAAAGAATACGAGGTGAACATTAGTTTCTCATTTATAAAGTAATCCAATGATGAGATGTGTTCTTAGGCAGCATTGCAACATCTTGATGCGCATTTAACGTCGAAAATTGAGATTCGTACTGAACTTGAACATATTCGCAAAGATGTATGAAAACTGATAGAGTTGAATTCAGAAAGAAAATATTAATATTTTAAATAGATTCGTGATCTGATGGCAATTAATGATAAACGTGAAGAAAAGGCTAAACTTGATCGACGCGAATTTGATTTGGATGCGGAAGAGCAAGATCGACAACGAAAAGAACGTGAAGCATTAATCAACAAAGTAAATCAATCGAAATTTCACTTTTATCCTTAATAGTTTCAAGATCTAGATGCGAGAAGAAACCATCACACAAAATCTTATTCGTCTAATGAAACGCGAAGTTATCAAACAACAATGTTGGGACGCGATGTCTGTTAAAGCTCGATGCATCGAAGTTTGTATTCATCTACTCATCAAGTAGATTTTCTCGTCTCGCTGTTATTTCAGGGTATTATCAATCCAATTCGCAAACCAAGTGCACCAATTGTAGTGGAGAATTATCCTCTAGTACCACGTAGTCTTGATGAATTAGAAACTATTCGTCAAGTGATAGAACGACGTCGAATCGAAATTGCCGAGAAGAAATTACGCCGACAAATTTTTGCAGATAATTCTGATATCAATGGAACAGAAGGAGTAATAACAACGATAATTCACAAAATTCTCTTCTTCTACGATTGATTGTTCGGGTTTTTAGCGCCCCGAGGCACCTGTGACAGAAAATGAAGACGAACATGATAAACAAGTAACACGATCGACTGCATTGATTGGCTCAGTTTGGTAAAAATTTGTCGGTTGATATCTAATCGTGTCTATTTAAACGATTTTTATTTTAGTAATGAATTTCAAGTGGATAGTTCTGTACTTTACAATCAATTTGAATTGTACACTCAAGAACAAAAATGGACGCAGATTGCTCTATTGAATGACTTGATCTACAAAATCAAAGAAGCGTTCAATAAAGAATTCGAAAATGTACATCAGCGTAAATTACAAGAATTAGCGAAGATTCGCGAGCGAAACATGCGTATCAAGCAGATTAATGCTGATCTCGATGATCCAAGTCCTGTTTGGGAGCCTGATTTGACTGAAAAAGAAAAACCACAATTATTATTCGAAGTGAAAGACTCCGAGGTCTGATTGTATAGATTATTTCCAAGAAAATATGAATCAATGATCTGTTTTAGATCAAATCCGAACGATATTACACACCAGAGCAGTTGCGAATACTGGAAGAACAACGTTTGAATGAAGCACGTCGACGAGAGTTAGAACGACTTGATAATTGGCGTGAACGAGGTTTAAATGATATGATGAACGGAGTGTTACAAGTCCGACGAGAAGATGAATTGAAGAAGGTTTGTTTCGAATGGAATTGATCGAGAAAGAATCGATTCAATTGTTTGATTTAG